CGTGGGAAGTTGGGAGTGCGGAGAGGGGGAGGGGGAGGAGGGGATACTGTTGACAATATAGTGGCGAAATATTGCAGACCCAGGGGCGGCAAAATGTAGCTTGCCCAGGGGCGGAAAAAAGCTAAATCCCCGGCCCTGGGTTTCGGCTATAAATTTCCGAAATTCATTTTTTGTGGGCCACCCTAATGGGGAGTCTTTTGCCCTCTCTCCTCATTTTTCAGAGATGGTGCTGAGGGGGGGGGGGCTTCATTCAGTAATCTCAAGAAATAACACTCCACCTATGGCACTTTTCGACTTCGAATGTCCGGGAAGGACTTTTGAAAAATAATCTTTTGATTTCCACCGTCTACCACCGTTTCAAAATGGCAGCTGAAAAATGACGGGAAATGTAAATTTTACATGCTGTCTAGTAACGTCTTTCAGTGAATTAACAAAAATTACAGTGTCTGGGGTGTTGAGATTCGAAAAGGCCCAATCTGATGGGAGAAGAAATATATTCATTGAATTATTCGGCATCAATTAGGTGATTTATGCCTTCATTTCAGAGATATGTCCCCAAGCCGATTTTCATTACTTGAGCCGGGCAAGAGATTATTTTCTATCATCAAGCAACTCACAATTATTAGTAAACGAGATTGATCCTCCTCACTTCGGACAATGATTCGATGGTTGATGTATTGACTGGTGATTTCTGGATTTTATAACATTTTTAAACAAAATCCCTAATTGTTATGTCAAGCTGGCTCAACACATAGCGGTGTATAAGATTCGACCCCGAGTAATTTTGGAAGAACTTCAAAATTACGTTAATTCATTCGCTTAACTGATCCACAGTAATTATGGTGAATATTTCATCTATCACTGAAACATATGTAGGATATTGTGACTAAAACTTCGTCATATCAGAATAAGTTCTTTCGATATTTTGGGGAAAAAGCCAAGTTTCGAACAGTAACATACATAAGTGAATAGCCGCATTATTTTACACACAAAGTGGAGGTAGCGAACGGGGTTGTCTGGAATACCCTGTGTTATATGAATATTATTTTTATCTTCCTGCTTCTGTTACCGAAACATAATCCATGTCACTCGTCATTTGTAATTACTGGATGAGAATTGAGGGATTCGAGTTTTTGGTTTGTTTATTAAAATTGATTCGGGAAATTTGACCTCGTCCGTGTTTTTTTGCAGGGCAACGTAGACATCCGCTCCAGCGCTCAACCGATCGCTGATGATGTTTCCCTGATTGTGGATTCCCATTTTCGTCCGGGCTCAGCATATTCATTCTTTCCGTCAAAGAATTCTAATGGTATGATTACTCACTTTCGTTGAAATTGTTAACCACGCATCGTTCCTGTTGAAAATCTGATTTCAGAAGCGGATCCAGCAGTTTGGCAACACCGAATTTCCTCCATTTGAACCCATATTAAATAATCGATTCTTGTCGGAGCACTTGGTCCCTCAAAAAGTCGATACATTCCCATAGGTTTAAATGGAGAAAAAACAATTTTGCCAACTCACTGGATCCGCCTTTCTCTGATCTCCGGAAGCCCTCGTATAAGAAAACACATTAAAAAGTAATAATAGATGGAATACCTATTTAAATAGCATTTAAGTGCATGATATTTACAGTTATTGTATAGACATAAAATTGTGATTTTAGGATACCTTCGAAATACATTTCTATGATACATAAAATTGGACGTATTTATGATAAACGGAACTATGTTGCACATAAACCCTATGCACATGGTTCCTTTTGTAATAAATACGTCCAATTTTTGAAGGATGATGCCACGTTTAAAAAAGTCCATTTTTACTTAATTTAACTACACGAGAACGATTCAAGATTGATTTTTAAATGATTTTGGAGGGAATGCCACTAACAGTCAGGACAAATTCACAGAATAGTTTGAGCTTTGGTTAGCTCTCCTATGGTGCTCCTTCTGGTAGGAACTAAGTAAATTTGTGAATTGCTGCAAGAAAGTCTGTGCCCAAGTAGCACGGACAAGCCCTTTTTCATGGTACACGTATTGTTAAAAGTGAATAATTATGTTTCCACAGAACTCCGGCAGGGTAATTGGAGATCTGACGAGCCGTTTGACATACTTACACCAATTAATGAGCAGTCTCAAAATGATGACATCCAAAACACTCAAAGACTCGAGGATATTATCGACTTAAAAGTTCCATCACCTCTCGAAGTCATTCCGCGTCAGAGTCCCTTTCGACATAGATTTAGGAAAAATCATGGCGACTCGAAATCCAGTCTCCAAGTGAATGAATATATAGTCCCCGATGATCAGCCACCAGAACTTCAGCAGCCCAGCTGGAATTCTGACCTCTCAAAAAATCCGTCTATGGACTCGATTTTAACACCTTCCGGTCCGAAAATGGACCTGCATCTCCCGGGAAACCAGGAGATCAACAGTGCCCAATACGATTTTCCTACATATTATTTTTTCAATCGAATCGATGATAACATTCCGGTTCTCACTCGGAAGGCTAGGAATGTGAGCTCTGAGCCAGAGATCACCCTGAATCAGGAAACGAAAAATGAAAGCAATTCTGAAACCAGTTTAAGCCTTGAAAAAAGCGCCAGTCCATCCAGAAATGAAACAGAGGCTCAAATTGCGCTGGATCTCTTGCAAGAAGGGGAGAAAAGATTGAATAGTTCAAGCTACCCGTCTGAGGCAGTATTGATACTGGGCAACACGGGATCCGGTAAAAGCACGTTGACCCAATTCATGACGGGGGATGGGGAAAATTTAATATCGTTTGAAGATGTATCAGGTTCTGGCGATTTCATCATTAATGATACCTTGGGTCGAATCAGTAATTCCTCGACGATTACCTCTTGGACTGTATACCCCGAATCGATGGTGGACATAATGTCTAACACCACATTTTACGACTGTCCAGGTTTTAGCGACACGAGAGGCGTAGCTCATGACATCACGACAACTTATTTCACCAAAGAATTACTGAAACGTTTAGATAAAGTCAAATTGATTTTCACGATTAATCATTCTTCGGTCAGAATCGGTGTGGACAGGCAGGATTTCATGACGTTTGCGGAGCATGTCACATCAGTTGTCAAAGACGTAGAAAAGTATAATGATAGCATTGCCTTGATTGTGACGAAAGTTGAGAATCAGTACAGGAAAGGAGTGCTCGTGCCTGACGAGAAAGTCGTAGAATCTGTCGCGGGCTTTTTAAAAATCGTCAAGGCTGAATTGCACCGCAAAATGCAAAACAACGACACTTTCACCGAAATGAAACCTAAAACAATACCCATCTTGAAATTCATCGATGTTCTACTGCAACAGAAAGAGCGATCTTACCCTAAGATTGGTATTTTTAGAAGACCTGACGAAGCAGGTCCTCTCGCCAGGGTCAATTCGCTGCTAAACAGTAAGAAGGTAATCGAAAAAGTTATTTATCTCAACACCGACTACGCCGCTTGCAATGAAAGCGATTTTGGTCAAAGCATTTCTTGCAAATCCAAGAACAGTCTGCATATTTTGGTGAAAAAAATAAAAGAGCGCATTTCATCAGATGTTGAAAAACTTCAGGAGGAAATAGTGAAACACTTTTCGTCGATACAGGAACAATTAAACGATTTTCAATATTTACACGAGCTGTTTCAACGGGCGTACAGTACATTTGCTTTTACGCATGAAAACGCCACTTCACCGATGGGTTTTGTCCATCAGGTGTCCCGCAACCTCCAGGATTTGAATGTTAGCCATTCGGATGCACATTTAACAAGTATATTGAAGTATGACGATTACTTAAAGTTTTGCTCCTCTTACGGCGCGCCCCTTGGCAACTCTTCCGACTGGATTTACAAATTCAAGCCTGCTGTCAAAAACTTAAACGACACAGAGAGTTATTACCAATTTTTGGTGCAGCTCAGCGACGTTTTGTTCAGCTACGATGTGCAGAAAGATAGTTCTGGTTTCTTTAATTTTGTTAGTGCATATTTTAAACGATCAAATACCTCAGATAATCTGGAAAAGAGAGTGGTATTGCGGAGTTTAATTAGCGTACTACAAAATTTTAAGATGAATTATGAGAATAATGTCGAAATTTCTGAGAGTCAAATCAACAATATCGATCAGATGGATATTGATCCGGTGAAATTTCAGAAGCTCGAGTCACTGATGGAATTTGCCTTGAAACCGAACGTGAGAGTGTTTTGCGATAAGAGCAACAACAAATTAACAGCGAAAGGCCACATTGTTAGACTCGCCGATGTGTCGAGCGGTCTGAGTGTGTGCAAAGTACTTTTCATTGAAATTTTCGCCTTGGAGAAGGTAATCTTCGACGTGGATTTAAATCTGAGCGGTAGCGAAGCGCAAGTTTCCGTGATCGCGCCCATCTGGGAAACTGTGGATGCCCGACTCTTGAATTTGGATGGTGCCGAGGGGAAATTCGAGGAGCCACGACCCAACTTCCAACCGGGTTGGACAAGGGATGGCAACTGGTCTTTGTGGGGAGCTACTCAAGAAATATCGATTGAATCCAAGAGAGAATTACGGAAACCTGGATCCGCTGGGGACCCTGGACCGCCTGGAAGTCCTGCTGGGAGCTTTTTCGGCATCGGGAAAAAATTTAAGAACGGTCAGTTCCTGACTATCTCGTCTGTCGGCGGTAGAGGTGGCCCAGGACAAGAAGGTTTGGCTGGAAACTCTGGGATAGACGGGAAGATGCCAGGCTTGAGGGAAGGAGATAAATCAACAAAGGATCGAAGCTGTTATGCTTCTCACAGCTATTCTTGGGAGGGAAAAAGACAAATTTGCACAGTCCATGGACTTGAATGTCGTGATGGAGACAGTGGCACTGATGGAGGGGCAGGAGGCAAAGGCGGTAAAGCTGGGCAAATTCGACTGATCGGCACGAGTCAAAGCGATGCGATCCAACAAAAAGTTACGGACGGACAGAAAGGAAGGGATGGAGCCGGGGGCGAGGGTGGCAGAGGAGGAGCGCCAGCAGACATCATTACGTTTACGTCATTTTGTGCACACAATTATAATTCTGAATGTCCGTCTATCTATCAAAGATATGATATACGTTCTCAAGTGACGAGTTCACACACGTGTGATGCGGGCAGTTCTGGGATAGCGGGTAAAAATCAAGACGGAATACAAGAGCCGCGAGAGAGCAGAAAACTGCAAGGTATTCCAGGTATTATTCATAATTTCAAGGAGTTCGCTCGAGGGAATTCACATGGCAGTGTGAGGCAAACTCAAGTCCAAACGTTCCTCGATGAATACCTGGGAAAATTCGACCCAGACGAAATGGTGGTCATTGCGGATGACACCACATTTGCAAATATCTCCTGATGTGTAAAAGTTTCTAGATTTTGGGCCCGATGGGTACGGCAAAGCAGATGCATAATGGATGGAATGCCTAACTCTTAAATATTGTCATTCTTTCTTTAAGCTCAATAATTTATCCGAAATGAGTGAGTTTACACAGTGTGCAACACAAGATTGAATTTAAAGTTGAATTTCTTTTTCTCGGGCTGCATTTTGTTTGATGATATTACCTTTCTCCCGATCACTTGTTATCAGATTTTAGGCGATAGCTATTTCGACACGTATATATACGTAACATCGAAATAGCTATCGCCCAAAATATGATAACAAGTGACCGGGAGACAGGTAATATCATCAAACAAGATTGAATATTTGAAGGGTCCAATGACATTTTTGAAAACCCCGAGTTCAGGGTTTCTTTGGCATTCTTCTTTTACTTAGTTTAACAAAGTAGGGACTACGCAAAACTCAAAGCAAGCAAACGGTTGAGAGTTTATTTTTTAGTTCTTTTTAGTGCACAAATCTGACGAGCTGATGTAGCTGTTGCTTGTCTCCGTCTCAGGTGCCTTATCAACAGGTTTTTTTTTTTTTTTTTTTTCCTGCGGATTTTCCTCATTTGTTTTATATAATATACAGAAATTTCAGACAAACATTTTGTTGTGTTGTCCTGCAAAAATAATACACATTTTTCCCCTCTTTCAAACAAAATATTTTTAAACATTGCAATAAAATTGCGTGTGAGAATATGTGCAATGAAAATTAGTGCTCTCAGGAAGAGGTGTGACCTATTCCGAAAAATTAAAGGCGACCTTCGCGTAAACGAAATTCATACGAATTGGATCGCACATCTCATCTTCCATTGGTTGACTCAAAAAATGGATTGTAATAAATGTATGTTATCCAAACAAATTTCTATTCACTCTCCCTGGGTATATTTATTTGTACGTCCGGTATAATTGGAGGCAAACCCCAAGCCACTTTCCGTTCCACATATCATACACTTATAGGTTCGATCAAAACAAGGAGCGAGATGATTGTTTATTTTTCGTGCTACTCGGTAATTTTGTTACTCAAACGCCTAAATTAAAGAATTAAGACGAGCATCAAGTGGAAAATATTTAGGAAATTAGATTTTCAAATCATTTATTGGTTCAATCAAAGCGCGAGGCGAGATAAATATGTATGTTGCAGATAGATAACTTTTCGTGTTGGTTTCTTGCCTACCCAGATGAATTGAAGGCGATCATCAAGTTAACCATCCAAGTGACTTTCCTAACTCTAGATAAATCAAGAGTGCTCCAGAAATACTACAGCTACCGACCCTCTTCTTCACAGTTCTGTGTTTATTAGAAAATCTCTAATTTTAAAGCTTGTTTTATCTGTAATACTCATATCAATTATGTTTTTATGTTTTTCCATCTTATAATCCTGGACCAATATAAGTAAGCATCTTTTTTTATACCTCGTATATTTTCTTTCCATCTCTTTTCTCACCGTATTAAGGTGATTCGATGGACGCTATATTTTGTGTCAGAACGACATGCGATATATCACATAGATTAGTTCCATTTTTTCAGCTACTCATCATTTTTCTCAAAGTTTGAGATCGCAATCCTGTTGTCAGGAGACTGAAGAATCCACTCAACACAAATTCAACGCAATAAAGGCGTGGTTTTTTTAGAGGAAATATATCGCATTCGATACTGATATCGAAACTGCAATCGAATGCGATATTTTTCCTCTAAAAAAACTACGCCAGTATTCGTCAAAATTGGTACCTAAGTGAATTCTTCAGTCTCGTGAGAACGGAATTGCGCTCTCAAAATATGAGAAAAATGACGATTGCCGGAAAAAGTGGTACTAATCGATGCGAACATGTCGATGCAAGTCGTTCTGAAACAAACATATAGCGTCTAACGAATCACCTTAACCGTGCCAGTAGGGCTCGCTTTTTGAAATCACTCGGATGTACCATAGTGCAGAACACCGACAAACCAATGCGATCCGATGGGCGGTCAAAATTACTTTTCCGTCGAATCCGTTTTTTCGTGTTTGAACCGTTATTCTGTCAAGCCCTGATGGTCGTCAGTCACCAAAAAACCGAATCAGTGAGTCTCTAATACTTTGATTTCTACGCACAATTCAGAACCTTGTGATGGCTCGGTGGTCGAAACTTCCGCCCGATCATAGGCGGTATATTAAATCCGTGACGTCAGAGGATCATGACCTGTCAAGGTGTGTTGTTTTAAAGTGATGTGTTCAGGGCCGGATTTACCTTCTTGCCGCCCATGGGCCGCCTGTATTTTGCCGCCCCCTTCTCATTCGTTTTGAAACATCAATAAAAACCATCAAGTGAACGCGCCGAATGGGGAGGGAGCGGTGCTTAAGACGCGTTTACTCATGTTGGGTACATTTTTCGCGAAAGCCCAGTCAGCACTACTAGCAAAAGTTCACGGAACTTTGCGCGAAAGTTAGGTTCCGTAAACCTATCTCTGTGTGAACAAGGCCTTCAATTTGTAAAAAATGAACGTAAAAATTATGCAAGAACAAACATGAATGTGGTTTAATGATTTGAACTTCCGCCGCCGCGCCGCGCCGCGCTGACCCCGTGTTTGGCGCAATGCGTGAAGTATTCATGCAGTCTTGTAGGCGCCGTGCGTGTCACGCCGACCACCGCTGAACGCACTGCGTTTGACGCAATGCCTGAAGTATTCATGCAGTCTTGTAGGTGCTAATATGTGTTACATGCCGACCGCCGCACAGTGAATTGAGTCAATTAAAGAGGTCGGACATGAAATTTTTGACAAAAACTGCAAATGTTGATGTTTATTTGTCACATTTTAAAGTTCAAGGGGTGATACTGAGTAGCTAGAATATGNGGTTGACATGTCATACAATAAAACACCCCCAACACCCTGAAATAATTCCGATTTTTCTGCACAATTTTACAACATTGGTGACGTCACAACATGAAACATTGTTGCCAGATTGTATACTATAACACACATATCACATACCCACCATCGCGAAATAATTCGGATTTTTCTGCACAGTCTGGCAGCTGGGTGGGGGCTACTTCCCATATTCTAGCTACTATACTGGAAGAAAAATTCACGAGACAACCAATGGAACCACTCGTAGAACATCAGATTCTTGTATAAACGGAGTTATAAGCGTTTAAAGTTTCCAAATTTTGGTCAACCTCTCTCATTGATTCGATTCACCGTGCGCCGCGCTGAGGGTTTCTCCTTTTCATCTCAAGTCTCCATTATCATTGCTCTCTGCGCCGCACCGCTCCATGACAAATTGCGTGTTTGGTTTGTCTCTTAACTCGACTAATTAAAGGCTTGTGTCACCGAAAGACGCTTTTCTCGTTTGTAATTTTTTTTTTTCTGAATCCGATTTTTTTTATACCTACTTTTTAAAAAATGCAAAATTTGCCGCCCCCTTTTGCCGCAATGGGCCGCGGCCCATGTGGCCATGGCCACCCCCTTAATCCAGCCTTGGACGTGTTGAATGTTTTAGATCGATCTTCAAAAGAATAATTGTAATAAAAAATGTAGGAACATTCTCTCGTGAGTTAATATGTTCGACAAAAATACAGGAAAAATCTTCCTTCAGATGTCAATCAGCCACATTTACACTCAAGTTAATGCTGTTATTTTCTTTTTTAAATAAAGTTAATTTACATTCAACGTTCGCGGATTGATATGTTCTCCTAAAATTAGCAAAAAGTACCAACAGGTACAATTGGCGAAGACATTCTCCAACACTTCAGTTGCTCGGCACGCTTTTCCAACATATTCATGTTAGATCAGTTGGATGTGTCTTTTTGTTTTTTCCGTTTAAAAAAAAAATGATAAGAATCATTTTCAAATTTTGGCAAGAAAGACAGCGGAATCTTTATATCGAGTATCGATCTTTATATCTTACTACACACAAATTATGACCTCCGATACTTTTTTAGGTGTTTGGCCCCCTCCCTTGTGAGGTAACTGTCAGAGCACCGTTACATCTCTCCCTCCTGAAAATGACGTCAGGTTGAGCCACATTCTAGCCTTTCAGAGACAAAAGGAAGAACCCTGACAAATATTAAGCAAACAGAATGGCCTGAATAACACGAAATGTAACCGTCATTGAAAATTAAGCGTATTAACTATCTGGAAGAAAAAAATTATGGCTATGATTCAAAAGTTGCAATTTTTTTCGAGAGAAGTAGTTTTAACTGATTAAATAAACAGAAAATGAAGAAATTTCTCCTCCCTTTTTGTCCACGTAAATTTTCAAATTAAGCAGGCTCTCGGCAACTTTGATACATAGACACTGGAGACTTCATCACCTCTGGTGCACCTTATTAAAATGAATATACATTTCAAGTAAATTGTTCTCCTTCCCAATATCCCTTTATCCCTACGGGATTTACCCTCCCCTCTTCTTTACCATTCACCTTTGCCCTCCCCCCTCTCCCGGAACTTGACGTCGCATTTAAGCGGGTCCTTTAATCGAAATTCTTTACAGCTAAAAAAGATAAAAGAGAGAAACAAATTAATAAAACCGTCACATTTCGACGGTGAAACTACCTGACCACTTATCTCGGTTTGCGACATTATATACTTCCTGTCGCATTTAATTCTATACTTGGAAAACCACTCAACGTCAATTCTTGAAAACTTATTCCGTATTTTTTCCTCTCTGTGCGAAGAAAACTCGGCGAAAATTTCAAGAAATGATATTGATTTGCTCTCCTTCAAAAAAATAAAATGGCGGATGGAGACATTGAAACGCCGGGAACTAGAGCACCTTATAATAGGGAGAGTAGGGACACCTCGAAAATTTGGATGTTAGGTTTGATCAGGTCATGTAGCTCTTAGGGCCCAAAAAGGCAGCCAACCTACGAATTTGAATTAACCAGGGGCACCAATTCAAACTCTGAGAGTAGGTACACTGATCAAAAACTATAAGAGAACGTATAAAATTTTGATTCCGCATACATTTTCTTAGTTTCAAAGTCCTAATCCTTAAAAACGCTTGCTTACAATGTGCTGTCGGCCCTGTCGATTAATCTTTCAAATGCAGAGGTTGGCAGCGGCACTTTTCCAGTGAGTTTCGTTTTTCACGTTGTCGCGCCTTCGGGCCCTAAGAGCTGCATAGATCGAGTTGTCCATACTCTCCCGATAATGTTACGTTACCGTAAACGAGATACGCACTGAAAAAAAATTCTCGGCATTTTTACCAAGGTCCGTTGGTACCTTTACCATCTCACTTTTTTTACCAATTATTGGTAATTTTACCAAGACAGACTGGTAAGCTCAGCTAAAAACCGGTATTTTTACTGTTTTTTCCAGGTAAGAATACCACTTTTATTGGTAATCAATTCCCGGTAACTTTGCCATTTTATCTCGGTAATTCTACCACGGTCGATAACAAATATTGGCGTTTTTACCAAGGTCCAGTAAAATTACCAAGAAAGTTCAATGATTTTACCGAGATTTCTCGGTAAAATTACCAATTCCATAAATGGTAATTTTACCAAGAAAAAACTGGGATCAAATAGAACCCTGAATTCTTGGTAATTTTACCCTTTTCTTATTTAATAAATACACCAAGATTTTTTTTTCGGTGCGTGCTGGCAGTTTCACCATCGATTTGCTTTTCTTACCGATGACCCAGTTGGCCCAGCATCCGTTGGGCATGGCCTTGTACCAATCCTGGATGGCCTGCGACCAATCACTCGCGTTGGATCCTTGGTTGATCTCTTCCAGGATGATGAAGTTGAACGGAAAGTGCGCTCCCCGTATGGTCTCGTTGCCGTACCAACGCATGGTATTCTCCAACGACGTATATGCTTCCACAGTCATGAACTTACTGTAGTTCGACAGCTCTCGGTACAGATCCAATACGCCTCTGAACTCGTAGATGACGTCATACGAACCGGGTTGGTCCGTCGTGTAGATGTGATTTAAGTATTGGTAATCGTCCGCTGGAACCCCTTCCCAGAAGGAACGTGGCTCGTCCAGAAATCTGCCATGAGAATTCTCATCAATTAATTGGTCTAGAATCGGAATCAAAGTGGAAAATTTCTCGAGGAAGCTGCCGAAAATCCCTAGCTAAGGTCTACTTTTCCTCCGAACTTTAATGAAGAAACAGCAAATCATATGCACGGACACGCACAACCTCAAGAAATAGACCAAATGTTGCAATAATACTGGTTTCCTTTTTTATTTTTGGGAGATAACGGTTCTATTACGGCCAGAGGCTCATTTCAATAATTGTAATTTTCCAAAATGTGTACTTTATAAGGCCTGAAATAAAGCTGATAGTAGTTATCCAAGGAATCATTGCATTGGAAAGGCCAAACGGACGGTTATAGTTTTCGGCATCCGGTTACTTTCAGTTTTGACTCAGGTTTTCCAAGAGAGATCTCGGGAAATAAACGATTAATATGTTCTTCCAGGCCTTGTGGATGCGTTTTGTCAAAAAATCTAAGGCAAAACCAGTATTTTGGAGGAATTTGTTGGTCAGCTCCAAGTTTCCTCATACTCTCGCTATCGATGATTCACTCTTTACTTTTACTCCTTTTCCCCTTCACCCCCTCCCTGAGGACGGCAACCACCTGTTGCATCTGGATTCCATTCGACTTATTTGGCTATTTCTGATTGTTTTCGGGTTGTTCCGGGTTATTTCCGGCCATTTATGACTGTATGCGGCCATTTTGGGATGTTTCGGCCTTATGACGTTATTGTAGAAGCAGAGACAAGAGACCCTCCAATGGTATCTTGGCAACGGTGAAAGCTTTTATTTCGGGACTCCAACATTCACCTGTTGACTTACCTAGTAGGTGGATGGTCAACAACGTGTTGAGAATTTTATTTCGCAAACAAACCGAGGTTTGAAAAACGTGCTTGGCTCATTACGTCACTCGAAGCTCTTCATTCATCGAGTAGGTAAAATGAATCTTGCTCCCTTTCAATCGTCCATGAGGAAGTGTAGAGTCCCCGTAAGTAAAAGCTTCTACCTGCCGCCAGGAGGCCAGTAGTGGGTTTTTGTCGCCGTGTAGAAGCCACTAATGACGTCATTCAGGAGCAAAATTTCGGCTGATTTCCTACTTTCTCTGCCATTAAGGACCAATGTCGGTCATTTTAGGCTGTCTCCGACTGATTGCGGCCACGTTGGAGTATGTACGACTGTTGCCAGGATTCAACCGTTTTGGAGCGCTTCTCCGAGTATTGTCCGAGGAAGACGCTGAGCTATGCTGCCGTGCTAAGGAAGAACGCCGTATGAACATTCGAGAGTTGCCAAATTTCCCGCGATAAAACATGTATGTTTGACAACATTAATGCATATTATTCCATGAAATTTTCAGATGTTTTAGCTTAAATTTCGTGCAGAATTGTCTGAAATTTTTGGGGGAAAATACTCGCAATTTTCCCAGTAAAGTCGGTTTTTATCGGAGGAAACTTGGCAACGTCTGAAGGCTCATACGGAGTTCTTCCTTAGCACGGCAGTGTGGATATTATAGGTACCTATCGTCCTCGAGGAGGGTGGCGACGGTGTCAACGCGGAATCCGTCGACGCCGAGGTTAAGCCAGAAGCGAATGACGTCGTTGAGCTCCTGAAGGACGAGGGGGTTGCGGTAGTTGAGGTCGGGCTGCTTCCTGTGGTACTGGTGGAGGTAGTACTTCTGCCGCCTCTCGTTCCAGGTCCAGGCGGAGCCGCCGAAAGCCGAGAGCCAGTTGCACGGCGGGAGCCGGGTCCCGTTCTGGTCCCACTTGGCCTCCGCCCACACGTAGTAGTCCGTGAACGGCTCCTCGCTCTCCGCCGACTTCCCGAACCACTCGTGCTCGTCCGAGGTGTGGTTCGGCACCAGGTCCAACAGCACCTGCAAGGCATCAATCAACGGATTTACTTATACGCGTAACGATAAATCACAAAAACATAGCCCGAATTTACGAATAAAGACCCTGGTAAAAATTGGCGATAAGAGCTGCGTTTCAAAATACCATAGGAATTCTTACAGCCGGCTAAAGAAGGCTACAGAAAATCATATAGCTGGCTGTAGAATGCGGAGAAAATCATATGGCCGGGCTATATGGAGCGATAAAAAATTATACAACCGGGCTATAGTTCCTATCGCCGGGCTTTACACTTTATCGCCTGGCTGTTGCTTCTTCGCTATCGGCTATAAAAGGCTATAAGAAATTGTGTAGAATTGTGTAGAAATTGTGTGGTATTTTGGAACACAGATTCTATTGTCAATTTTTACCAGGGGAAGGAGAGAATTAAAACATGGGTAAACAAGGCTAAAAGTTTAAAAACACTGAGAGGCAGGGCGTTTCTAGCTGTTACCAGCTCATTTTCAGCTGTAAAAAAACACAAAAATCAAATATAAAAAAATAAATAATAAAAAAAAAGGTCGCTCCTTGATTTCTTATTAGATTTTTGTGTTTTTTGCAGCTGAAAATGAGCTGGTAACAGCTAGAAACGCTCTGCCTCTTAGTGTTTTCACGCTTTTAGCCTTGTTTACCCATGTTTTAATTCTCTCCTTCCCCTGGTTGTTTTTCCTTGGAAGAGTGAAAAAAGTTCAATCAAAAGTATACATACATCAACCTACAATCAGCTTAGAAATCCTCAGAATAGATTGAGATCATAAAAAACGAGCCTACGACGTAGTATTCATAGGAAGCCAGCCAAAAGTTCCTCGGATAAAATCCAAGGTAAATCGTTGACAAAAATCAAATAATTAATTGCTCCTTCTCAAGTTTTCCATCATTGCGGTATTTGCGCTCTCAAACAACCCTCACGAACATATTGACCAATCTTCTGTGCTCTTTCGTCTTCTGAATAGGGACTTTTTAACATAACATAATTGAAAAATAGTGTTACATTGCGACCAGACCCGTGATATAAAAAAAAGTTTTTCTGGACTACTTTTCTTCAGTTTCAAGGAGAGCCATTCTATTCGCGCTTACAACTCTTTCCTTTTACCTTCTCAAAAGCGCAAATCTTCATTTGCGCTGCTGGGGCCTGGAGCTTGCGCTTTTAGAATTTTCCCGCCGTTATGATTATTTCCACACTATCTATGTTGTTCATACCCAACTGCATGCTTTTCGCGTCTCCTTGTGAAAATGGACATACGCTCTTACTACAGAAGAGCGACGAATGGGTCAGTTGCGATAGTCACGGAATCGTGTTTCGATGCTTGATTCTTGTCGGTTAGCTAAAAGGTTACAGGGTAGCCGTAGGGCTACCCTATCTGCGCCGTGTGATATATCGATTTTCGGTTCTTGTCGTGCCGACATAAATTTTAACAACCAGGCTGCTGTGGCTGTGACAAAGAAAGTGCGCAGGAGCCCTATGAACAGAACTATTTTTTTCAGTGTCATGACGTCATAAACCGAACTTTTCAAAGCGGAAAATCTCGGTCAATATTCAGCGTAGAGGGTTGCTGTTCGGACAGAGCTTATTATTTTTAGCTGATCTGCAAGAATCTAGCATCGAAATACGATTCTGTGACCAGCGCAACCGATTCCTCTCCTGACTGGACACAATCTTTCTGTTGAGCCTGATTTCGTTTCGAGGGGGGCTCGGTCGGGTGAGCAGGGTTCTCCTCCCCCTCCCCGGCTAAGAGGGGTTCAGGGGACCTCCCCCGGCAAATTTTTGAAATTTTAATTCTATTTGGACGCATTCTGAGGCTTCCGTGACGCAAATTTTCCATCAATTTCTGCTAAAAAATTACGTGTATTTTAATACTTTCAGCCTACGATACCTTAAAACTGTTGCATCCAACATATCTAGATAATTTTCGAAATTTTAAATATATTTCGACGCATTTCGAAAGTTCAAACTTCCCTTTTTCTCGCCTTTTTGTATTTTCTGTCTCCCCTCTTCTTCATGTTTTCCCTCCTTTGTTTGATTCGGGAGGGGGCTTGAACCCCTTAAGCCCCCCCTTCTGGCTACGTGCCTGATCTCCCTCCCCCCCCCCCCCCTGGCTACGTGCCTGTGAGCCTCTGGACAGTACCGCGTGAGCTCACCTTGATGCCGCGCTCATGGAAGGCGGTCAAGAGGTCCAAAAAATCATCCATGGTGCCGAAGAGCGGGTCGATGGCCCTGTAGTCGGAGACGTCGTAGCCGAAGTCGGCCATCGGGGATTGGAAGATGGGCGAGAGCCAGACGGCGCCGACCCCGAGGCCGGCCACGTAGTCCACCTCCTGGGTGATCCCGTTGAGGTCGCCCACGCCGTCGCCGTCCGAGTCCTTGAAGGAGCGCGGGTAGATCTGGTAGATGACGCCCGTTTGCCACCAGTCCAGCGCCGACGCCGCCGCCACCAGCTCCAGCATAACCAGTAGCGAGCGCCTCAACGTCGCTCCCTCCATCCCCTATCTGCTCCCTAGAATTCAACCGTTCCACACATTTCGTCGTCTCCCGCACGAAGGAACGTAACTCCAATCCAAGGTTGCCAAATTGACTCTAATAATTAATTTATTTTACAAAAATTTAAGTGTGCAATTTTTATCCAAATCTGTCTGATTTTTGCATGAAATAGGAAGAAAAATCAGTGAAATTTTCAATTAGAAATGCCCAAGATTTTTCTGGTTGAATGCAATTTATGAAGGAAAATTTGGCAACATTGAAATGTAGTTACGTTCTTTCGTGAGGGAAACGACGATTTGTTTATTTTTTAACGCGTTTTTTTGGGTATGCAGACAGAGGGTCTACAGATAAAATGTCCACAAGCAGAAAGTCCACATTTACAATATCTAGAACTTAAAAATCCACTACGAAAATGTCTACAAATAATAATGTCTTCTAAAAAAAAGTCCATACTCAGAGGGTTCACTCGTGAATGGAACATAGATAGAGTGAACTCACATCAGTTACTTCTTTAGGTATCGATGGAGGAGAATCATCGACTATTCATTTTTCTTTGATAGATGCATTATATCGACGGTGAAAGTCGGTAATCACATAACTCGTTTGCGGTGTCTGAAAATCTCCGCCTCTACGTCATTTTTTTGAAGGAGAGCAAATTGACATTTTTTCTTGAAGTTTTTGCAGAATTTTCTTCGCATTGAGAAGAAAAATCATGACAGTTTTAAAGAATTGCCGTTGAGTAGTTTTCCATTTAAAAAATAAAGTATGACAGGAAGTCTGCGACGTCGCAAACCGAGTTATGTGATTGCCGACTTGCACCGTCGATATGTAGACATTTACTTTCTTAGGCATTCTGAAAGTAGCCTTCTTAATTGTAGACATTTTGACTGTAGACCTAAAAATGTAGACATTTTTCGTAGACCTACTGTCCGTGATTCTTTTTTTAATGTATGCATTTAGGGCCGTATTCGTTTTTTTAAGGCGTTCTCCTAGAGGATGGTTTCACGATAACTGAAATAGTTTTGTCGCCGTAACAGACAACACATTTTTCGATCATATTTTTAGTAGTAATGATAATCATTCGAATTGTTCCGCATTCCTCTACACAGGGTTACGTGTTACAACGCTTTTCAAAGATTTATCGCTCTACTCTTCAATTTTAATATATAAATGACCGAAAATGTGCTGTCTGTTACGCTGGCTTTTTACCGCGTAACAAACAGCGCATTCTCGGAATTGACATAATATTAATTGATAAGTAGAGCAGTAACTCATTAGAAAGCGTTATAATACGTATAACCCTTTGAAGATTAATGCGGAAAAATCCGAGTGATTATCATTTCTACTAAAAATATGACCGAAAAATGTGTTGTCTCTTACGGCTACAAAACTATTCCAGTTATCGTGAAACCACCCTCTTATGGATCTAAGGGATCATGTCGGAATGGATGTAGCTCCTTTTCATTTAATTACGCCCATGTGGTTAAAATGGGGGACCAGTCAACTCCTAGACTGATCGTAAAAATTCCTAGACCGGTGAGTATTCGAAAACAGATCACTAGACGAGGGAAGATAATCTAAGACTCACCTGCGTAAATTTTTACATAAATTCGAGGTAGACGGTAGGGTTGCCGGACTGTGATTGATCTCCGGTTACCTACACGGAGAGCATTTGATGAGTACTGGGCGTAGGTTGACAGGAAGTTCTCAAATCCTACTTTGCATCGAAAAAGTAAGATCTAAGAACTTCTTTCCCCCTTTGCTCTGTTCACCGATTGTCCACTAATTAAAAAACTGCCCGTCAATAATGGATTTAGTTTTGAAAAAAAAACCCGCGTTAAAAGTAAAATATACGCATATTTCTTGAGGATAGGTTTTTTCCTCGCCTTGACGACGCCTGTTTGCGCACTACAAGTTTCAATTTGAAATTCTTTTAAAACTTCCATGCTTTTCTAGAGGTTGGGATAGTGACTTTTGAACAAGCTATTATACCGGCAGTGGAATGATTCACGAGCGTTGGTGGTGTACTTATCCTCGAAAAGGCAGTTGCTTGCCCAAATTGAGGGAAGATAACGGGAGTTTGGATCGATGTACTTTTCCAGCAAGTAGTCCAAATATCCATCACTTTAGTATCATTAATGTCTGATACGTCTCCCATAACATCTTCAACGAACGTCTCTTCAATTTCAGAATCAGGTAGGTATGGTAGTCTAAATGTGTGAATGAAACTTACCAACTTCGGAAAAAGCTCGTCACGAAATGATGATAATCTAGTGATTATCACCAATAATTGGCAACACGGCTCGACGACCGTCTAGGGGTTTATTGAAAATTATGTCATTCGTCCAGGAGTTTACGTTTCGAAAATCTCTGCCGTCTAGGAATTTTCGATTTGGGTATGGTCAGTACGGTGGCTTTTTTCAATCGATTGAAAAATCAATTATTCTTACATGCGACCTGCCCACTTTTTCACATCGTATTTTTATCGGCCAACGTTCAAACAATCTGTGTTTTTTTAAATATCGATCAATTTTGATGATTAGATGTTTTTTCATTGCTTTAAATTTTGAAAACAATGATGAATTGATTAAATGGACGTATATTTGCTTAAAAAAAAAAAAAAAAAAGATTCCTCTTAAAAAAATAACAATTTGGGATTTGCCGTGGGCATGTCACGAGAGCGTCGTGGACAAGGTTCATGAGCTAAAGTGCACCAGCACCGATCTCCTCGTCCTTCCACATCTGAGTCATTACCGCTGACGTTACTGGCATTCATTTTTACGGCCCTTAACTAACGAGCAGACTCCTTATTCCCCACCTGTCTCTGATTTCTTTTAAAATACTTATAAATACTAAATAAATACGTCCAAATATGTGATAAAGAGCATTCAATTGGGTCAGGCAGTCAACCGTCTAAGATTTCGAAAGTGTCATAATAACATTTTTGGCAATTTCTGCCATTTTGGATTTTTGAATTTTAAAAAATTGAGTTGAGATTCAAGTTCCTCGTTAAAAAATATAACCCCTGACACCATGACGGTAACAGTCAAGTTTCATACGTTAGTGCGCCTTCAATTATATTTGATACCGTGCAATACTTTCGTGGTGGAATAGTTGCATTGGCGCCTACAAACCTAACAGGGATACTGCATGCATTGCGCAATGAGTGAAGTATCCCTGTTAGGTTTGCAGGCGCCAATGCAACTATTCTACCACGAAAGTATTGCACAGTATCCAATGTAATTGAAGGCGCATTACCGTATGAAAATTGACTATTACCGTCAACCACTGTTTGCCAAGTGGTAACTTCACGCCGACTAAAACATTTTACAGGGTCCAAATTTTCAAAAAAAATAATCATGATATAATCACCGTGTTTTAGCGCACTTTTTCGTTTTTTTTTTTTTTTTTTTTTTTAGGTCTAGAGAGATGATATTGAAATAAGTCGAAATTCACGATTTTGCTCAGAAAAATGACAACGTCGCAGCATATCAAAATTATCAGAAGGGGAGCATTGGGAGCATCTAAGCTACTAATTTCACACTCTGATTATAATTTAGGCATCTGTAACGTTAATTTATCGAGAGGGAAAAATCATCAAAAACAGTCAAAAATTCGCTGTTTTCATGCGTGAAATTTTCGCGTCGGGTCAAAAGCATGGAGGGGGTCCAAAACTTCACTAGGGTGTAGTTTATGAACTAATTTTGCCCTCTGTTTAATTTGCAGACCCCTCCGACTTTATTTATTGGGGAGCGAAAAAGTACTGAAAATCATCTTGATCAAATCGATTTTGATCAATTGATTTTGATTTGATGATTTGATATTTTGATCTAGTCAAAGTAAACCTGTAGGTGAACTTTATGGTTTCCTGCGTAACAAAGAGGAAAGGAGATTTACTTACCTATTTTATCAGAAGAATGCCTCAAAATCGAAATTTATGAATTCAAAAAGGTTTCACTAAAACTAACAAACGATCACCGTGAAGATTACCAATAAATTGAACGATAACTGCCGACCATTAACGATAGGAGGGTTGGTACGCTGTGCTAAATTTTACGAGCAACGCCTGAAAAATATACTTTCCTGAGTCATTTCCACAGCCGAGAAGTTTAGAATTTTAAGCCTTGGATAAGATTCAATGGCAAACAGCACTTTAAAGCTATTGTTTTCCGGCAGCAGTGGCCAAAACACAATCTACATTTTCATAATGATGAGGACGTGAGGCGGAAAACGCGAGAGCCAATGTTCCGAAGCAACGTACTCATTTTCTTTGTTTGCGTCTTGCGTTCATGAAGAAAACTATACAGCACCAAGAAATAATTCTTTGGAACGTTAGAATTGAAAATCTTAGTACCATCAATGATAGCCTGGGCCTAGATCTACGGACTACATATTTTCATGTAGAAACAATCAATTGAGGGGCTTGGAGGACAAGGCGCATAAGTTCAGCTTTTGCTATTTCGAGAAATACGAGTTTGAAGCTTCGAATTACGAGGATCCTTTTGGCGGGGGAAAAGTTCAAACTGACTTTTTAATGCTTAAAAAATTGGTATTTGGGAGCAAATTTTTCGCAAAATATGCACTAAGAGTAGTTTTACTTGAAATCTTTGAATTTCAATTTTTTTCAAAAACTGCTTTTATGCGCCTTGACCTCCAAGCCCCTCAATTATCATCGAACATTCGTCCCGAAGACCGAATTTTTGCCGAGGAAATTTTAAGCGTTAGATTTAAAAGACTCTCATTAAAATTGACGAAATTCGAAGATTCTGTTCCCTTACCACACTGAAAAAAAAAGTTCAGTAAATCCAAACTAGTTAGGATCATATGGAACCAGGTTTTGTTCGCTACACACAACCGAATTATTCGGTCTGTTCAACCGAATTTTTCGGTTTGTGCGACCGAACCATAATAAATTCTTACAGTTCGGTTCAGTGGACCGAACAGTTCGGCTGAGCAGACCGAATAATTCGGCTGAGCAGACCGAATAATTCGGTCGTGTGTACCGAACAAAATCGTGGTTCCATATGATCCTAACTGGTTCGGATTTACCGAACTTTTTTTTCAGTATACGGCTTTTTTTCTAAAGCCTCTACTAATTTCCTTTTCTCCCCCCCCCCCTCCCCTCATTTTTCTCAAGATATTTTAAAGTTTATTACTTTAGGTATCTAGCTGAAAAGAGAAACTCATTTTACCCCACTTATGCGTGTTAACCAAGAGAATAAGGTACAGTTTGAAGCTCTATTTCCAAATTGTGCCATATAGAAGCTACGTGCATTGTGCAAGTAGATGCTCTTATAAAATAGACCCGAAACAGTACCTAATCCATTGTCGCAAAATTTAGTCAAATAAAACGGCTGGTTAAAAGGGATGATGTAGTATATATAAAGGACTGGTTTGCTTAACGCTCAGCTACATTTTACAATTGGTATCAACTATTTCTAGTTTATTTTAGAACCTACATGATAGGTGCCGTCAGTTTCCCAATACAGATAGGTGCAATAAGTATAAATGAGTATGAAATAAAAGTTCCTAATTGCAAACTATAGTTGAATTACAACCAGTGAGACGGATCTGCAATTAAGTTAGATCCGTACTATTTCTTTTTAGGATTTATTCTATTCTCACTCTAGAGATAAAAGCTTTAGAGTCACTGACTGCGAAAAATAGGAAAAAATTAGAGAAAAATATAGAAGAGCGGAGAAAACGATTTGGAAGAAGAGACAATAAGAATATCGGCCAATCTATGTACGAGATAACATCACGGACATAATGCACGATAAGAACTCATTGGCCTGAACTATTGTTTCGTTTTTCTCACTTACTTAATATCCAACTAGCTCGCTCCCCAAGAGTGAGCTGCGAAGGTACATTATCAAAACATTACCAGCTTTAACATTTTAAAATAGGTATGTTTAAGGTGCTGCTGTATAGTTTAGTTCGTCATCAAGAGGCGCACACTGGAAGAAAAAACACATCGGATCTAGAATCCTGACTCTTAAGAACATCGACAAGAAAAAATACTCTTGATTCAAACAGATTTAAGCTTAAATCAAGAACCAAGCCTCTTAATTTGAGCGGATTTCCTTTTGATTTAAGCTTAAATCTGATTGAATCAAGAGTCCTTTTTCTTGTCAATGTTTTCAAGAGTCTGGACTCTAGATCCAATGTTTTTTTTCCAGTGCACTGCAAAAAAATACCAGTATTATGAACCAAACGTTCAGTGTCAAATTTGAATAATTAATTACTTTTATTAACTATTATTAAATAATCCCTTTGTTAAATTTTTTACACCGGACGGTGTTGAGGACTTGCGTCACTGCACCACTCATCAAAGGCGTGGCGGGATTTGCGATTAATCGATTCAACTAAAATTTGAACTTATGAAAAAGGATCGATGTACAGGGTGTTCGCAACGAACACCTTCATAGCTTCCAATGGGGAATTATCGATAATCGATCATTCACGCCACGCAAATGCCACTCATCTGTTTGTATAGCTCGGTTCAATACGGAAGCTCAATTAAACAAGGTTTCAAAATGAAGTCTCCACTGATATTCAGATTTTTTAATCTGTTAATGTTTTAATTATGTATATCGCCTGAATGTTTTTCAGGGTCTACTCTGAGGCAAACTTTACATTCTTAAAAGGTATGAAGATCTCAAATGTGTGTGTGTGTGTGTGTGTGTTTTTTTTTAATGGAATATCGCCTGCCGTTCTGCCGTGCTAAGGGAGAACGCCGTATGAGCCATCAGGCGTTTCCATGTTTCGTGAAAATCGCGAGTTAATTTTTTCAAATTTTTTATACAATTTTTTACGCAATTCAAGCTAAAACATCTGAACATTTCAAGGAAAAGTAGGCAAAACTTTCCTAAAGAATACATTACGTATCCGCGGAATTTTGGCAACTCTCGAATGTTCATACGGCGTTCTTTCTCAGCATGGCGGCGTTGCATTCAGTGGAGGCTTCAATTACGGTTATTTTTGTGAAATTTATTAGAAGAATTATGAAAAACTGTTGAGAAGCGCATGGAAATATATTGTAAAATATGTCGTGTATTATTGTCGGAATTGTTGATAAATGATTGAAAAGCAAGTTGAGCGTCTGACGTATGCCCCATTATTGCCTCGTCGCCGCATTGGTGGTTTTCATCGTTTCATCGACTTTTTGTTCAACGTTTCCGCGCTTCAAGAGTGTTCGTAGATGACGATTCGCATGTTCCCATTATCATCCTTCGCAGCAAAGGAGGAGTTTTTCCCGTTCGCGGCGATATTAATAGTCGGTGCGTGATCTCATTAAGCTAGATCAAACGACCAAACATCCATTTCTATCCCACAGTCGTTGTTTGCTATCTGGAAGTGCCCCTGAAATAAAGGCAATTTAACTTAAAACATGAATCAAAACAAGTATAACAAACATTAACTCATAATAATTCGTAAATTATGAATTATTACAAGAAATGCAATCTACCATATTCATTGCCTTCTCCAGAGAAGGGAGACTTTTCCCCTCGGTGGGAACATGTCGAACGTGCGAGTTTGTTCGAGATGGGTCGAGAAAACGAGTTTTGAAAATTCGAAGGAAAAACCTTTCCAGTTTTCTAAAGAATACTTTGCGGAGAGTTCACATTGTTACCAAAAAGTGCTGAAAAGTAAGCAATTTCCCTCATTTAAATCCATGTAACATATCCTCGTTTTAACGCTCAACCTGGTAACAATGATGCCGAAAGAGAGCTTAAAGGTCGCAATATGACTCGAAAATTTCATTTTAAAGTGCAAAATGGACGTATTTCTGTCGGTAACGGAACTATGTGCATTAAGACATGAGCCTTGGGACCCATAAGGATATGCATAATAGGGCTCGCTTGACAGAAATCGCTTGCTCGTTTAACAGAAATCCGTCCAAATGTAAATAATCGGAACGCTTTTTGGGCGTTTTTTTCTCCTGTATGTTTTGTGTACTCACCATACTCCGGTAACAATGATTCAATATTGCGTTTTTGCGGACTAAGATAATAAGATAAAGTTTAAATTAAGCCCGTCGCCGGTTCGAGCCTGAGTTGATTTTGGGACATTTTCAGAGTATTTCGAAATTAGGCACCGAGCCCCAAAAAAATGCATTTTTAAAAGTTACTCAAAATTGTTTTGAGTCGAAACAAATAAATAATTAGAAATAAAACTGGAAAGTAGATTTGAAACCTTACTATCGGAGATACCAACGCATTTTTTCATACTTTGGCCATCGAAATGAAAAGGTAAATTTTAGAGCACGCGTCTCTTGCGATTTAATTTAAATTTTCATTCATATCGTCACGTTTCACGAATGAAATCAGACTGCCGGAATAATCTTTGAGTAATGAAATTTGGAATATTCGAACTTATTCGATCTCCAAATCGGCAGTCTGGAGTGTAGTAAGTAAAATAGTGATAAACGGTGTTCTTAACTTACCTTGCGTTCACCCCATTTGGTCCCCCAACTGTTGCGAACGTCATAAATAGTCTGCCCTTTTTCTGAAAAAATAAAATACAATATAAATTTCCAGCAAATAAGTCACTGGATTTAATTTCCCGAGGAAGAACTATGGCCTAATTAGGGCTGAACTTAGGGGGTAGCCACATGGGCCGCGGCCCATGGCGGCAAGAGGGCGGCAAATCTTGCAATTTTTTGAAATGTAGGTATAAAAAAATCGGATTCAGATAAAACATTACAGACCAGAAAAGGCGACAAAATCTGTCATGTCCTAAAGGTACCGTAATTTCTAATTTTGTCGTCTTTTGGTGATACAAGAGACAGCACCTTTAATTAGTCGAATTAAGAGAGAAACCAAAGACACAATGGACCACTAGACAAGGTACGAGTTAAAGGATTCTGATACATGTTTCTTAACCAGAATTTTACGTAGAACACGACTCGCGCAACGAAAATTACTGAAACCAACTCCTAACGAAGATATTAACGTTTTTATTTCACATTGGTTACGAGGAATTTGAACTGCCCGCTCACAAAAAACTCAAAGCTCTACGTGAGTCAAATCGCGCACTACAACGGTTTCAGCAAGCCTCTTAATCGAGCAATATACATTCCCCACAATGTTTTGCTCAAACTATAAGCAATTTGCTGTAGCTGAGCCAAAGCGTCAAGATTGAGGTTGCCGGATTTTTATATCGCAGAGACTGTCATGATAAATGTTTGGCGTGCGATGTGAATCACGTGGAGCATTGAGTTTTCATGAGCGGATGGTTTGAATTCACGCATCGAGAATCATTAAATATCTTCGTAAGGAGTTGTTTTCGGTAATTTTCGTTGCGCGTATTGTGTTCTACGTAAAATTTTGGTTAAGAAACAAGTATCAGAATGCTGAAATTCGTACCTTGTTTAGTGGTCCATTAGCGCCTACAAGACTGCATAAATACTTCACGCATTGCGTCAAACACAGTGCGGTCAGCGTGAAACGCATAGCGCCTACAAGACTGCATGAATACTTCACGCATTGCGTCAAACACAGTGCGTTCAGCAGCGGTCGGCGTGAAACGCATATCGCCTACAAGACTGAAGGAATACTTCACGCGGTCAGCGCGGCGCGGCGGCGGAAGTTAACCATCTCTGGCATAGCGTAACGAATTCGTAACGACATATTTTCGGGGTTTTTAAAAATCGAATCTTCTCTCTGTGCCATGATTTTGAAAAATTTCATTCATTAGTTTTTCCTTTCTTTGAAAAATTGATTCCCTTAAGTTTAAAATTTTGAAAAAAAAATTTGATACTCTACTTTTTTTTATGCAAACAACAAAATAGATTAGTGTCCCTCATAATCTGAGATCCAAAATTCATTCATGCCTTAGAGGTTTAAAATTATTAAACCGCATTTATGTTTGTCTTTCATAATTTTTTCGTTCATTTCTTATAAATGGAAGGCCTTGTCAACACAGAGATAGGTTTACGGAACTTAACTTTCGCGCAAAGTTCCGTGAACTTTTGCTAGTAGTGTTGACAGGGCTTTCGCAAAAAAATGTGGCCAACACGAGTAAACGCGTCTAATGCACCCCTCCTCCTCCGACGTCTTCTCTTCCATGCTTTCCCATTCAAGACGTGAATCTATAAAAAGCATTACAGCGATAATCGAGGAGTGTTGAAAGTAAAAAAAATTAAAATAATTGAGAAACGGCACCACATACCTATTCTAAATCCGACGATCACGACTGCGTGGTCCAGAACATTGGGATCGCATGTCGGCACTTTCATAACCCCTTTCTTGTATACCTGCAATCGCCGTAAAAGAAATAACGTCACTCTTAATCTAAATTTCACACAAAAAATACACCGTAAAGAAACTCAGACTTGGGCACAATGAGCGTTTATGGAACTGTTTTTAAAATCCGTAACGTAAAATTTTGGATTTTTCGGACCTTTTTCCCCTCTCTTGTAACGCTGTGGGACCGAATGTGGGTCTTCGTGGTAATATCTACTTCCTGCCCCCGTTTCAAATCTTTGGAAATGTAATGACCTTTTAACAGCACCGAAAAAAATATTTGCTGAAAGAACCCTAGCTGCTTTACCCAGTTTAGATAGCAATTTTGTTTTGCTGAAAACTGAGATACCTGGCACATTGCTAAAATAGCAAATCAATTAATTGAAATTTTAACATTTAAGTCATTACATTATGACGGGTGAAACATTCGTGCACCACCCTACGTTTTTAAAGTGAATTCTCAATTATTTTTTAAATCCTCATATACATAGGGTGTCCCAAAACGACTGAGACCAAGTCTCTAATTCGGAAAGTATGATAGATATCGGAATGCGGTTTGTGAGAAGTTGTAGTCCGTACTATTAGCTATCAAACCTCAAATTTGAGTTTATTCGGATGAAAACTCACCTAGTTATAACATTTTTTCGGGGACTAGTTGAACAGAACCCTCATCCACTATTTTCGAGTAATATTTTTCATTTCGCGAACTGCTCGCGAGTGGCGCTGCAGATCGCGACGCTGTGGATCAGGTGGAGGGATGAAGTGGTCACTGTTCTGTATGCAGGTTTTATCCTGTTAACATGTGTTTTCATCGCAAACGTCCGCGGAAAAGCTCAGTGCCGCAATCTTCAAGCGTGACCGAGTGTTTTCTCGCAAAGCGCAATGAGTTCGCCCGCTGAGTTGAAACAAGAACAACGTTATGCTATTCGCTATTGCGTTCGCCGTGGCCTTTCTGACTTCGATACTTTAAATGAGATGAAAGTTGCTTATGGACTAAATCGACTTGGGAAAAGTACCATTCTTCGTTGGCATCAATGCTTTTCCGAGGGTCGAGAGTCGGCAGCTTGTTTCAACTCAGCGGGCCAACTCATTGCGCTTCGCGAGAAAACACTCGGTCACGCTTGCCGGTTTCGGCTGCACTGAGCTTTCCCGTGGACGATTGCGATGAAAACACATGTTAACAGGATAAAACCTGCATCCAGAACAGTGACCACTTCATCCCTCCACCTGATCCACAGCGTCGCGATCTGCAGCGCCACTCACGAACAGTTCGCGAAATGAAAAATATTACTCGAAAATAGTGGAGGGTTCTGTTCAACTAGTCCCCGAAAAAATGTTATAACTCGGTGAGTTTTCATCCGAAGAAGCTAAAATTTTGAGGTTTGATAGCTAATAGTATGGACTACAACCTCTCACAAACCGCATTCCGATATCTATCATACTTTCCGAATTAGAGACTTGGTCTCAGTCGTTTTGGGACGCCCGCGGCGTGCGCCCTATGAAGATATACATTCAATAGAACAAGCTACGTTAATACTTTAATTTTGACTTGTTCTTTTTCAGTGTCAATCGCTTATTTTCTTTTACCGTATACTTGGTAATTTTGTAAGTTTTGCAACTATCTTAGTTTTTTGAGGCTTCTTGAATACTGTGGCCTCAAAAATGTAAGAACAGGTCATCTGGTTTGCTCCTTGTCCTAGGCAGGTTGTTGTGAATAATATACGAATATGCCTTGGGATTATAATTTGTAACATGTATACGAAGATATCATTAACGCATTTTCCCATGACATCATCAGCGGGTACTTTCCGATGGCGTCATCAGCGCGGATGCCCCGATGATGTCATAAACGGATGCCGCCATGATATTATCAACATGAAAAGACAGATCATGCACTCCTGAAAAAATTTATGCAACTTATATAATTGTATTTGTTATATAGCGCATGTATATATTGCCTAGTCCCCGACGTAAATAGCCTAGATGCTGATCGTCGTTAACTAAAACTAACTAACTAACTAACTAACTAACTAACTAACTAACTAGTTAGTTAGTTATTATAATTTTGAGACATTCAGCGGTTAACTAACTAACTAACTAACTAACTATATATATATATATATATATAATATATATATTTAGTTAGTTAGTTAGTTAGTTTTAGTTAACGACGATCAGCATCTAGGCTATTTACGTCGGGGACTAGGCAATTTTAAATTTTTAAATTTAATTTCTTGAAGAGTTTTAAAATTTCTGTTACTACTATTGGATTATCTGAACATAAAGGGTGGATGTTATGAGGGAGGGAATTTCGAATTTTGATGCGTGTGGCATAGGTTTTTGGGCAAGAAAGTAAAATATGGTCGATTGTAAGGGGGGAATGTTGACATAGAGAGCAGAAAGGAACTGGAGATTTTGAGATTAAATGAGAATGAGAGAAAAAAGTATGGCTAATTCGCAGTCTCGCAATTTGGACTTCGCAGGTGCGGTGCTTGTTGAAGGAGGTGTTATCATATGGCTTAGGTCTTCTTTGAAGTAAGTTTTTGTCATTGTTCATCCAGTAGTATTCCCAGGAATCATTGATGTGAGACTGGAGCTCTTTTTTCAAATCTTGTGGAGGAACGAAATGTGTGTGTAGAGGGGGACTATTTGGATTACAACAAGATTTGGCAATAATATCCGCTGTTTCATCACCGATGATTCCCGAATGACCCAGGATCCAAGCCATAATGATGTTATGTGGTGAATTTTGAAGTTGAGCAGAAATGTCAAAGAGAAGAGGGTTATCTCCTTGATTTTCTATGGCTGTAAGACCAGAGAGGGAGTCGGACATTAGCAAAAATTTTTGAGGCTGCGAGAAAGTTATCGTTTTAGTGTACTTAACGGCTTCCGGAATTGCATAGAGTTCTGTTGTAAGAACAGAAGACAAAGGAGAGAGAATTTGTAAAAAGGACATATTTTCTTCAAGTTCAACAAAAGCACAGCCAGCACCATTTTCTGTCTTTGATCCATCCGCATGTACAGCCGCCTATAACCATCATACTTTTCTAGGAAGTTGGAAAAACGAGTTTGTTGCTGTTGGACACTAATATCATTTTTCTTGACAGAGCTTAAAGAGGTAATTGATTGGAGGATATTGATATAAAAAAATTGTATTATACCTGGAACGCTCTCGAGTCAGCATTAACGCCGGCAAGAAGAGCTTTGTTTTTTTTCAATGCCGCTAGGATATTTGCACGACCTTTGAGGTGTGACCAACTCTTGACGGATACCACTCCTTTTGCTCTTTTGCATATTTTTGTTTCTTTACCAACGTATGGATTCTGTGATTCGGAAGTGAGCGATCTATTTTTGATGAATTTGAAAGTTTCAGTAAAATCGCCGCCGTCACATCCTGCGTTGCCGAATGGCTGACTGCAATCTACGATTTCTATTCAACAGTAAAACAATGGCTTTACAATACAGAACCAAAATGGACCACTCGACCAGGTACAAATTTCAGCATTCTGATACACGTTTCCCAACTAAAATTTCACGTAAAACACGATGTGCACAACGAAACTTACCGAAATCAACTCCTTACGAAGATATTCAATGATTCTTGGAGCGTGAATTCAAACCATCCGCTCATGAAAACTCAATGCTCCACGTGATTCACATCGCGCGCCAAACGCTACCATGACAATCTCTGCGATATAAAAATCCGGCAACCTCAATCTTGACGCTTTGGCTCTGCTACAGCAAATTGCTTATAGTTTGAGCAAAACATTGTGGGGAATGTATATTGCTCGATTAAGAGGCTTATTGCTGAAACCGTTGTAGCGCGCGATTCGACTCACGTAGAGCTTCGAGTTTCTTGTGAGCGGGTGGTTCAAATCCCTCGTAACCAATGTGAAATAAAAACGTTGATATCTTCGTTAGGAGTTTATTCCAGTAATGTTCGTTGCGCGAATCGTGTTCTACGTGAAATTCTTGTTAAGAAACATGTACCAGATTGTTTAAATTCGTACCTTGTCTAGTGGTCCATCAGACGAAAGGACAGGACTGACGTGTAAACTCATAGAGTACAATAGAGTCGCAAAATACTGGAGCGCCGATGAAGCCAATCCATGAACAGGCGTTTCCGAGCCGCGTGTGCTCCGAAAAGTGTGAACCATTTGTGAACCCAACGGCATTTTGTAACACGGCGGCTTATGGAGAGATCAAGAACTGCTTGTGTTTTTTAGGTATTTTATAATTCAATCAGCATACATTTTTGCAAATTTTGCTATTTATAGGTAGTCAAAGCCATAATGAATCCATTGATGTATATTGCTCCTGGATAATATTCATATTGGGATTTAATTTCTGTCTTATACCAAGTGTGAACCAACCGGCATTTTTTATCACGGCGGCTTACGGGAAAAGCAACGACTGCCTGTGTTTTTTCGACATTTTTTAATTCCATCAATATTAATTTGTGCAAATTTTGCTATTTAAAGGTAGTCAAAGCCATAATGAATCCATCGATGTATATTACTCCTGGATAATATTCATACAGGGATTTAATTTCTGCCTTATACCAAGTGTGAACCAACCGGAATTTTTTAACACGGTGGCTTATGGAGAAATCAAGAACTGCTTGTATTTTTTCGACTTTTTTTAATTCCATCGGTATTAATTTGTACAAATTTTGCTTTAAATAGATATCCAAAGCCATAATGAATCCATTAATGTATGTTACTCCTGGATAATATTCATATATGGACTCAATTTCAGACTTATTACCGGCCTACTTGGCTGGTTCAATGTGTGTGGACCTAGCCGACGAACGGAGCCGAGTCGGGAGTGGGGAGGTGGGGAGCGCTGAGCGCGAGTCTCTGCGCGTGCGTCATCGCTGGTCGCCGCACACTAGTCTCCGGAGAACTGGACAAAACAGCCTCGAAAAGTGACTTCAACGGCGATCCAGTACTTTGCGACTCTATTGTACTCTATGTGTAAACTACGCCCACCCTGACTACCGGGCTTGACCATTCTTTTTCGTTCAATATTGAAGTTGGTCCATGGGTGATTTGCCCGGTAAAAGTCCAAATTTTTTGGCCGACAAAAATCTCAATTTTTGGCCGAAAAATTGTGTCTCATCCATATGGCCTAGTGGTAACCATAGATAGTAGCTGAGCTATGCTGCCGTGCTGAGGAAAAACGCCCTACGAGCTCTCAGGCGCTGCCGAATTTCCTTCGACAAATCACTACTTTTCAGGAAAACTTGTGAAGATCTTTTCTCCGATTTTTCAGAGGATTTCCTTCGTAATTTCACCTAAACAGTCTGAAAATTTCAATGAGAAAGATGCACAACTTTCTTCAAAAATACATGTTTTATTTGGGGAAATTTGGCGACTCTCGAATGTTCATACGGCGTTCTCCCTTAGTGCGCCAGTATGTGGGGGCCGCAGCCGCACGTAACGCATTTTTTTCAGATTTTTTGACCCCCCTTCCCGTCTTGTAACGCAGCCCTACACCCCCCTTTCGCATTATGTAATGCTAGCCTGACCGTCCCCCTCCAATTTTCAAAAAATCTCTGGAGACTGATGAGGCGGGGATAGAAGAGGGGGTGAGTAACACGCGTTGCGTCGGCTGGGTCACACGTCGACCTACACTGGAAAAAAAAGTAGCTTGAAACGAATCAAAATCAGCTTGAAGCAAGCTGGAAAAAATCTTAAATTTGCCGCCAAGAAACGTATGGCTTGAAATAAGCATGGCCGTGCTGCTTGAAATTAGCTACCCGGCGGAATCTTAATTATTTTTCGTTTAATGCTCGGATCCAATACTAAATACTGAAAGTTTTATTCATTTTTCATAAAATTCCGTAACGTAGGGATAAAACGTTTTCTTCGACATGGATCATGTTGAAGTCGTCGTGCGTTGTCGCGGGTTTTGTTCTCGGTTTGCAGCACTGTTAAAATGCGCGGCTTTTGGAGATATCCTGGAATGACTTGAGAATGTAGGAATTTATAACTTAATGCCCGTGTCGAAAATAAAGGCGGAGTGGACACAATCCAATGGAAACTTAATTCAAGAAGTTGGCTGCAAACTTAATTTAAGTCTAATTTTTTCAGCTATTTCCAAGATTCGTGTCATGCTTGAAACCAGGAATCTTGAATCGAGTATACATTATCTTGAATCAAGAAACAACCTCTTGGAATTAGCAGCCATGGTGGCTTGATGTAAGACTCAGCAAGTTTGACTCAAGATTTTTGTGCTGCTTAAATCAAGCTAGCAGGTGATCCAAGCTATAAGGTACACAGAAAAAAATGGATGGTGCTGGCGACAGAACCTTTTGTTCATACGGCTCCCACAGTTTCTTTGTTACACTTACAGAACTTTCTGTCGTGGGAACAGAGTACTCTGTTCCCACGACAGAAGTTCTGTTCTCACAACAGAAAAGTTCTGTAAGTGTAACAAAGAAACTGTGGGAGCCGTATGAACAAAAGGTTCTGTCGTCAGCACCATCCATTTTTTTCTGTGTAGCTGCAATTAAGAATCTCGAATCTTGAATTTAGCAATAAATTGCTTGTTTTTAGATAAAAATTCTTGAATCAAGCTGATTTTTTCTCAAGATTCCGAGACGGCTTGACCGTAGCAGACTTTTTTTTTTTTCAGTGTAGAATAATACCTACCAGAAGGGCAGCAGTCGGCCATTTTGCTCCGATTCTTGAAATCCTCACGACCAGCCTCCCGTTTTAAATTTCAAAAGGAATCCGATCAAAGTCTAACAGAGCACAGGGGGGAATTTCATGAGAAGCCCTGCGCCGTCCGTAGCGCGCATGGCACACGGGACCCGCCTTTCACTATTACACTTCATCTAGAGTTAAGAGTTCACTAATTACTTCACACGACCACTGTGTACTTTAAAAGTCGAAAATTTAAAAAAAAAAAAAAAAAAAAAAAAAAAACGATGTACAATGTTTTACGCCAGGGAGCTCTGTCTACTAGAAATCGTTCATCACCCGCCCGCCGGGAGCGCCGCGGCGTGCTGCTAGCGCGAAATGCGCACTGACGCCTACAAACCTACAGGGCTACTTCACGCATTGCGCAATGCTTGAAGTATCCCTTTAGGTTTGTAGGCGCCAATGCGCGTTTCGAGCTGGCAGCACACCCGGGGTGGCACGTAACGTAAGAAAGAAATGGAAGATTGGAAATTTCAGTAAAATATTTTATGAATTTTCATAAAGCTGTGAGATATTTCATATTTTTCAGGGGTTAGAGTATGCAACTTACCCTCAAACACAGAAAAAATTAAGAAATTTACAATTTTCACATACTGCGAAACATGAAAAGGAATCAGAATTTTTCAATATCATTCATATTTCATGAAATACTTCATGTGAAATTTCAAGATTTTATTCATCATTAAATTTTGCCACTCTCAGCATACGCCGCGCCGCAGCGTTCTAAAAACTTGCCACAATTAATAGGTCAGAGTGTTAAAATCTTGGCAAGTTGACATCAAAAACTGCAAGTTGACATCAAAATTTGAAATTAGCGACTCCAGAAACGTCAGTAACGAAACTTTCGTGATCTTACAGCCATTATTCGATTTATTTCTTCCAATTCTTAAGTTTTGGACCATAGTGCGCTGCAGGTGGCGGCTCATGAAATTCTCCCCCGTGCTCAATTGAGAGAGCTTAGAAAGGGGGCAAAATTTGAAATTCCCGCCAGAGGGAAATAGTGGAAATTTCAAATTTAGCGGATATACTTGAACTAAGCGGGAAATGTTGAATTTTGGTCTGTTAGTAAGGTAAGTGAATCGAAAGTATGCTCCTGTGCTACAGACTATCCAAAAGCGACGAAACGCTCCGTTCCGTTTTGTTTCAGTCTTGGCGTAAAGTTTAAAATAAAGGCCGATTTTTTTCATTCGATTCTTTTTGGTCCAATCGCTCCCAGTCAGAGGGAGATTGGACCAATGATAGTCAGGCATGAAAATCTTTTCATTTTTTTGGTCGTTCTTTTGTCGACGCGGGCCTAGGAGAGCGCGAAGCGCCCTCTGCGGGTTGGGCCGCGTAGTGGCCAGGGGGCATACCCCCTAGTTATCTAAAAGGAACAACTCTTAATTTTGCTGAAGCAAAAGTTTGCAACAGGCCCATTGTATCTTACTCACCTTGCTCTGAGAGATCAAGAATTTTCCTCCTTTGCTTCGCGTATACGATCTCTATCGCTCCCGCCACTGCAAAGGCATAGCAAGATCCACAATTTTTCTGAAAAGAGAGTGATAGAAATTACACACTGTAAACGGAAAAAAAAATTAGACAACTTTCACAAGAATCAGTTTAATTCCATTTCACGCTGCCTAATTTTCTCTCAAGTTGCGGGTATTCATGTGAAAGAGAACCAAAACACTCAGCCAGATTCGTCGCGAGGACTAATTGGACTGCATTTTGCAAATTGGAACTATAAATTCTGGCTCTTCTGGAAAAATACTTATGTGCATTTGGAAACTAATGGCACATACGTTGTTTTTAAACCGGGCAAGAATTTATAGTTCCAAATTGCAAAATGCAGTCCAATTACCACCGAGGCAAGGATCTCATTAAGCGCCCCCTGTATAGAGGAGGGGCTGGTTGGAAGGTTCTCCTCCCAAGGCGAAGATGGGAAAATTTTGCGAAAGTTCCATTCCAAAGGAGCATTTTTATGCAATATCTAAACCAATTTTAAGAGGATTTTCAAGGGATGCTTCACGGGACGGCAAAGCCTTTTTTTAAATTTTTTATCACAGCCCGAAAAATTGTGGCAAATTCAAATTTTCACAAGTTGGCTCTGTTAGTTGAGCATGCAAATACAAGGATACGCATGCAAACACCAGGCAACCCCTGCAGGCAAGTAGCCAGGATTTTGTTTCGAGGGGGTCTTGGTCGGGGTGGTCAGGGTTCTGGTTCTCCCCCCCCCTTATTTCTTCGACTAAGGGGGAGTTCGTGGGGTATGGAATAACTACCAGTTCAGAGGGGGGGGGGTTCTGGGGGTCTCCCCCGGCAAATTTTAGAAATTTTAATTCTATTTGGACGCATTTTGAGGCTTCCGTGACGCAGATTTTCCATCAATTTCTGCGGAAAAATGACGCATCTTTTTTTTTGCTTTCAGCCTACGATACCTTCAAATTGTTGCATTCAATTCACTGAAAAAAAAGTGGAAGTGGGATTGACCATAATGGTATAGTAAAAAAAAATATGGTGATAAAAAGCCAAATAATGGTCGATTTAAGCATCTAGATGAAAGTGAGAATCATACTCGATATAAAAATTACCATACCCGGATTGTAAATATCAGTTAGGTGTGTCTGTCCATCGTTTAGGTATTTCTCACCATCAGCTGGGTATTTTTTACCATACGATGAATTAAAAGTATGGAATAACATGGTAACACTTGCGTTTGATATATGTAGGCATCTGTATGCGACTGGTCATGGTGTTGGTAGGTTAAATTTACCATACTGGTATAGTCAGCGTGGCGAGAGCTCCCGCTTGACTGCGCTGCGGTCTGTGGTCCGCCATTTTTCGTTTGTCTGTTTGTCAGTTATAAATTTATCACGTTGAGGGTCGGAGTCCGTGGCTGTGTTTTATTGATCCATATTAATCCATGTGAATCCACGCGTAATTTGCCCAAATTTGTGTTCGAATTGTCCCTAAAGCTACCGTCTTCTCTTCGAATCTATCTATATTGATCTGCCACATACATTTCCTGAGATTTTTTCGTTATTCGTATCGACCAATTTCTGGAGGTTAGGAGTTGCTACAATGAATCTGGCTTGCAAAGTGAAGGAATCCTGAAAATTTGAAAACCTTCGCAAAGTTGTTCTGCAATCCAGTGAATATCGGTTCTGTGTAAAGTCATTTCGAAAACATAAAAGTGCGGAAGTAATTTGAAAATAATCGACTAGAAGTGATTTTTGAATACTTCGTTCGTAGGTATATCTATATTCTTGTTAAAATTTTCGAAGCTCAACATACTCAGATGAAGAGACAAATGTGCGTGGGATTGATGTTTAACTGTAACTTTAAGCAAAATTTGGCAGCTTCTGCCCCACCGTGAACCGTGCGATTGGATTTTCATGTAGTGTCTTTTTGTGGGTATATTTTGAACTATCTATTTATTATATGCAATTAAATTTTCCGTGGATCTGATTTAGTCTGTAAATGATACCTTAACGCGAATAACAAGTATGGTTTTGGTATCATTTACTTGAAATCAGTGAAGCAATTATCTGCTATTTCTCGTTGAAACTGTCTTTAACTGCCATTGATTGTGTATGTAACGGAATTTCTAAAAGTAAGATGTAAGTAAAATATCCACGACTTTCATCAAAAGCATTTAATAATATAAGATGAGTGGATTTTAGAATCTACAAGGTTTGTCGCAGCATCTGGATGCTTGAAATTACCATACTAGTCAGTCGGGAACGCCACACTGGCACTGTGTCGCATAGTGTCTGCCGTATCGTGTTATTTACCATACCGGTATATTGGTAACTATGCTGCAGCTTCACTGTGTAAAAAATCAAGTAGACAGTATGGTAAATAACACCCAAACTCTGGTAAATCCCACCGATTATTTTTTTCAGTGAACACAACTGGAAACTTTTTGATATTTTAAATCTATTTCGACGCATTTTGAAAGTTCAAACTTCCTCTTTCCTTGCCTTTTTGTATTTTCTGTCTCCCTTTTTCTTCATTTTTTCCCTCCTTCTTTTGCTTTCGGAGGGGGCTTGAGTCCCCAACCCCCCCCCCTGGCTACGTGCCTAAACCCCTGTAATATTGGCAACACCCAGAGGCCCGCGAGATTTACGACTATTTTAAGTCGTAAATTTTGGAGTTAAGCTCGATTTTTTCACTCCAGTCCCCTCCTTATAATTTTTTTTTTTTTTTGGGGGGGGGGGTGGGCTGCGGCCGCCCCTCTTCCACTATACGCGTGTAACTCCTGATGAAAATCATCATAGGCAACTGTGCATAGCATTGTCAAGATGCCGCTCTATGGATGGTCTCAATATTCAAATTGTTAGAGCCGCAGACACAGAAGAACAATAATTCTAAATTGGTTACATTATTTTTCAGTAAGTTCCAAGTTAGGCGCAAAGACTTAACATTGAGATGTAATCATTTATTGGTGCGTGATTTTATTTGGACTGCTTTAAAATATAAAATATGGGATCATAAATTTAAAATATGGGAAAATTTAAAATATGGGATCACTATTTCTGGCTCAATCGTAAAAAGACCTATCTGAGTACGGAAACTCAAAAATGGAGAGGAAAAGTAAGGGAGAAGCAGAATGGGAGAAGGCTGCAGGTGAAGAAAATATAGAAGAAAGCGATGAAGGAAAAGGAGCGGCAGAGGAGGAAGATGGAAAAAATGAGAGGAAGGAGAGAGTAAAGAAAAGAAAATAAGTACGGCAGTGAATCTTGATATATCATATATCATCTGCTCCATAGATTTCAAGCAAATTCCACATTCGAATTGTTCGTGTTTGCGTTTTTTGCTTCATGTCACGTACACATTATTTTATCAGTTTGCGGTTCATGTGAATGGACTGAAAACGTTTATAATAAAATCCAAGCATTTTTTCAATATCATGGGTAGCGTAGCGCTATTTCAACCCAAAACAATGGAAAAACATACGAAGTTGGGTTCGGACCCAACATGCACCTACTTAAACTCTGGAGTGGGCCGGATTGCATACGCTAGATTTTTTGGGCGAAATCTGAGATATGGTCACTGCCAACGCGTGCTTACGATGAACGGCTCTGGCGCGCCAGAGCCGTTCATCGTATTCGATTCAATCCAATACGCCATGGCGTATTGGATTGAATCGAAAGGACTGGATCACACTATTGCTCGATCAGGATTAAAATCTGCCAATTTTCATTGCAAACATCCAATTTCATATTCTTCACAGTGTAGTGAAATCGCATGAAATATTTCACGAAATCGTTCAATCTTTCATATTTTTCATGCAGCCCTGGGTTAGGGTAGCCAGACCAGTTGCTCGACACTCTGGCCATGCATAATGACGAGAGGAATCTGAGCGTTGATTTCCGAAATTTGAACATACATGTATTTTTGCTAAATAGAACTATGTGCATAGGGACAGCGTGTACCGCAGTTCCTTTTAGCAAAAATACGTCCATTTATATTTCCACGATAGGAAAAATAGTCGTGCGCCGAGTGTCGTGCTGAGGAAGAACACCGCATGAGCCATCAGGTGTTGCCATATTCCCTTCGCTAAAGACTAATTTACGGGGAAAATTCCGAATATTTTTTTCCAAAACTTTCACATAATTTTGTACGCAATTCAATCTAAAATACCTGTCTGAAAGTTTTAACGAGAATTATGCACAACTTTCCTCAAAAATATAATGGAGTTGTTGCGTGTGTGAGGAATTTGCGATTTGACTGTTGATTCTTACGTATAAGTTCGCGGAAAACACGATGGTGCCAATGGCTTTTTTCTGAAATCAACTTCCAAGCTCAAAAAAAGCTCTCAAGTTGAGGCCAAAATGGAGGGGATATCCCACGCTATCCTGAGAGTCCAACTCCTACATCAAGAAAAACTCTCCATGCAAAGATAGGGAGCAAATACATTGACAGGGCTGCCACTTTATTTGGGGACTCCAAAACTGAAAACACGGCAACCCTGCTAATGTATTTGCTCCCTATCTTTGCATGGAGAGTTTTTCTTGATGTAGGAGGTGGACTCTCAGGATAGCGTGGGATATTCCCTCCATTTTGGCCTCAACTTGAGAGCTTTTTATGAGTTTACTTTTACATATCACGCATTCACGCGGCATATCGCGGTGGAGTCAAATCGCAAATTCCTCACATATGCAACATCTTTATTCTTATCCGCGGAATTTTGGCAACTCTTGAATGTTAATACGGCGTTCTTCCTTAGCATGGTAGAATAGTGTTGGAAAAAGAAGAAGAATAGTGTTGGCCCTAAATTATATCGTCTCTGCTTGGAATGACTCATTAATAGCCACACATTTGGGAGCGCACCTGATCTTTGCATTCGGGATAGAGCGGGCTCGTAAGATCAAAGCCTCCCTTTCCAATTTTGCCGCGATCAAAACTGCCCGCGTACATAGAGCTGTTGCCACCACTCTCGAAGTCCTCTCGCGACCTCTTGTTGCCGGCCAATCCGCCTCCACTTTCGTCATCAAAGTATTTTCGCTGCCCCGTAAACCGCCTTTTAGGGGCATCTCTCCGCACTCGCTTAGCCCCGTCCTTCGCCCTGTTTCCTCCTCTGTACCGATTGCGAGCCTTGAATTCTTCATCTGAAAATGTTCGAACCATTCTATTTTAGGGGCTTGGAGGACAAGGTGTATAAATGTAAAGGAGAATCTGCACACAAAAATGTTATTGCTTCATCTGAGAGTGCCTAATGAGCTGAGTTCGCAGAATTTTTCATAATTTTTTTCTGAGAGGGAAATTGGAGAAAACTAGATTTAAAAGTGAGAAAATAAGCCGCCTTATGACGTCATCTGGCGGCATTTTTCATTTAAACAAATCTATTTTAGCAAATTAGGTTAGGTATTTCGTCATATTTTCTCTAATAATTGTCCAATTTTGAAACCAAGGATATCCTCGTTCTCAGTTTTCCTACAATTCACAAAATTTAAGACACCTGCAAATTCTCTATTGATATGATAATGATATCAAGTAACGCTATAGTCTTGATGCATGCGCTGTGAAAAATTCGCCCCCAAATTCCAATTTTTAAGCATCAAAAAGTCAGTTTAAACTTCCTTTCCGCCATGAGGAGCCATGTAACTTTGAAACTTCAAACACGCAATTCTCGAAATTGTAAACACTGCACTTATGCACATTGTCCTCGGAGCCCCTCATTTAAAGTTTTTACATGCAGATCCAGAGAACGCATAGAATAATTGGGTATTGTTATAGCTGTTCAAGGCAAAAACAGGCGGAAACTGAAGCAAGGATATGATGTTTGGTACTTTCCTTCAAAATCGACGGTGAGACTATACCGGAGCGCGTATTCCGTTAATGGAGATGTTGCGTGTGTGAGGACTTTGTAAAATTCCAGTGGGAGGTTAGGTATAGTGCACCAAGTAGTAGAGGCTCACAATTGTCATTTTTTATAATTTTAGGAGCCAAAAAAATATTCAGTTTTGAAATTGAGGGGTTTCGGAGTCTTATGGCGCGTAGTCCCGTAGTTCAAAACGCAAAATTGTCTATGCTAAAATAAGATAAGCTTGAGAACGTCCATTGGTAACTTACAAGACATATCCGCAAGTGAGTTGACGCCATACGTCACCGACCCATCGGACCTGGCGTTCATTAAATCGATAAATTTGAGATTATCTTTGAAAATTTCGAATCTCATTAGCTTTTCTGCGGTCGAGGCGTACGATTTTCCGTACTTAAATATAAAGGCCTCGAATTGTTCCAGAAGCCTTGTCGCCATGTCAATCTGGAAAAACACAATTTATGTTTCAGAGAAGTTAGATGAAAAAATTAATGTAGCAGAAATAAAAAATACATAGGCGTACCTAAGTCATTATGCTAGGGGGGGGGATATGGAATATCCCCCAGCCTAGAGAGGGGTCCGGGGAAGTTTCCAAGTCCCTCCCCCTGAAAATTTTTGAAATTTTAACTCTATTTAAGCGCATCTTGAGACATCCGTGGCGCTTTTAATCCTGAATCCACTGAATATGAGCGTCCTCCCTTCTTCTTTCCTCTGTTCTTACCTCTTTATTCCTTTCCTTCCGTTTCTTCTTTCTCTCTTTTTTTCGGGCAGCCGGAGGGGGCGTACGCCCCTACACCCTCCCCCTTTTGTATCCGCCTTTCCTTTGATTTGGGCGATTCTACTACTTGAATGGTAGTAGATTTGTTTCAAAGGAGTAGGGAACTAATATTTTTGGCTGATCCATTGATGCACCTGTCTTCATAGGTCTCAATCAATGGCCCATTTCTTGTTTCCACAATGAACCAAAAGTAGTAGTTTCTCACTGAAAAATGTAGTCTAGTTAATCGAATTTCATCTCATGTCATGTTCATTTCTAGATATTTACCTAGTGAAGTTTATAATAATTGGCTATCGACGATAATAATCTACGGATGAGCTTCCGATCTTAATTTTTCATAATTTTAACTCAGGTTTTTATTTTTGAGATATAGTCCTCTGAGGACGTAAAGTACCTATATATAAGAATGATCTCCGCAGCAACCGCCGGAGTTTAACATAATACTGCTTTTAATATTCAAATCATGAAGGCTATTTCCATTTAAATCTTCCGTCACATTCTTACGGCGCAATGATACAACTATTTTAACTCTCCGGAATGCGTGAGGTATCACGCCGCATTTGAAGGCGTTTTCAAAACAGCCAAGTTCCGATACCCGGATTATCGTTTTGCTAGTTCCTATTCTTTTGTTGTATTCCGCACCACTCGTTTATTTTTAATCCTCGTAGAAAAACCACCCATTTGTAAATACAATTCTAGCTGAAGCGCACTTCGGCTATGCATTCACCACTGCAAAAATTTCAGAGGAAATCGACAAGCCCAGCGTGCATGGAGGCTATCTCCATTTAAATCTTCCGTCGCATTTCTAAGGCGCAATGATACAACTATTTTAACTCTCCGGAATGCGTGAGGTATCACGCCGCATTTGAAGGCGTTTTCAAAACAGCCAAGTTCCGTTATAGGAATAATTGTTTTGCATGGTTCATATTCTTTTGTTATATTCCGTACCACTCGTTTATTTTTAATCCTCGTAGAAAAACCACCCATTTGCTGTATATAATTCTAGCTGGAGCGCACTTCAGCTACGCATTCACCACTGCAAAAATATCAAAGGAAATCGTCACGCCCAGCGTGCATGGAGGCTATTTCCATTTAAATCTTCCGTCACATTCTGACGGCGCAATGATACAACTATTTTAACTCTCCGGAATGCGTGAGGTATCACGCCGCATTTGAAAGCGTTTTCAAAACAGCCAAGTTCCGATATCTGAATAATCATCTTGCATAGTTCATAGTATTTTGTTTTCATTTCTAACCACTTGTTTAATTATAATCCTCCTATAAAAATTACTCATTTGCTAAATACAATTCTAGCTGGAGCTCACTTCAGCTATGCATTCACCACTGAAAAAATGTCAAAGGAAATCGACAAGCCCAGCGTGCATGAAGGCAGGCCCGCCACAAGGGGGGATACTGACTGGGTCTATGGTACCGGGCCCCGGGCTCCGGAGGGGGCAGGGGGCCCGTGTTACCCGGAAAAAACCACTACGAATTCACATGCAACCCTTGTTTCGTAAGAAAAAGTGAAAAATTTACCTTAAAAATTTCGCAAAAGGTGAATAGATTTTCAGAAACACGCTGGGGCACTGTAGAATTCTTCTTAAATTTCCAAAAAAAGATACTTCCTGGAAAATTTCTATCTATTTTCAAGATTTTCAGTACAGAGGGATATTTTTAGTAACTGCGTTTCTTTTTTTTCCGTCGTCAGATGCTAAGAGTCTCCAGTCTGGGCATCCTCGACTTCAATGGCTCATGATTCAACTCCCTTGCCATAAACAAACGAAGGGGGAGTCCAGGGGGCCCTGACCCTCATAGAACTGAAAATAGTATCATAAAGTAGTCCCCCCCCAAAAAAAAAATAAAAATTTTCCAGATGTTTTGAATGCAACAATTCCCAAGTAAGTATTTTGTGCTGAAAGTATGAAAAAAAAACATAATTATTCCGCAGAAATTGATGGAAAAATTCTTTATGGAAGCTTCAAAATGCGTCCGATTAGTCGTATAAATTCTAAAATTTCTCGGGGGATGCCCCTCGGACTTTCCCCCCTCCGTGCTTGGGGCCCGGACCTTAAAACTGGTACCAGGGCCCGAGATGGGATGTGGCGGTTCTGTTCAAATGACTGAGCTTTGATACATTGATCCCATAAAAAGTTGATCTTTTCTTATACAGGCCGAAACCAGATATGCGGTAGCTTGATTCTAATAAATCAGATAAAAGAGGAGCTGGAAATCTGATCAACATGATCATGAGAGATCATGAGATATCGATATCCAGAAATTCGTCGTCTCTCGCACGAAGGAACTTAACTCCATTTCAAGGTTGCCAAATTGACTCAAACAATTTATTTGTCTTACACAAATGTACCGGTGCAATTTCATCCAAAATTTCCCTGATTTTTGCATGAAATGTCAGGAAAAGTCAGCAAAATTTTCAGTCAGAAATGCCCAAGAGTCTCCTGGTTCATGTGCCATTTGCGAGGGGAAATTTGGCAGCAATGAAATGAAGTTACGTTCTTTCGTGAGAGAAACGACGAATTGAGACGGGGACAAAAAACTATAGTAAATAGCAGTGTTATTACCTGCTCTTTAATTGTATCTCCAAACGTGCGTGCGATGCTGAAGCCTGCAGGAATCTAAACAAAAGAAAGCAAAAAAAAAGCGAGATAATAATGCCATGAGACGGATCACTATACACACTGGAATATGAATATTTCTGAGAAAATCGGCTGTTCCTGTGAAACAATCTGAAGAATAAAAAAATGTTGCCTTTTTGAAGTAACTACGTAATTATATAATATGTTAGTCGAATTGGATTTTATTGAGCCCTTACCCTTGTTTTTCATAGAAGATTATTGTTTTTCACGCATCTCTCATGTTCCTATAATATACATATAATAATATACGACAAAAACTATAATAACTATAATCTAATAATAAACTATAATAATATATCGATATTAACGGTAAAACTTGCAAAAACGTAGGTATCTCAATTTTCAATTATTATAACTCAGATTTTTATTTTTGAGAGATGGTCTTCTGAGGACGTAAAGTGCCTGTTAGGAAGATCTCTGTAGTAGTCGTAGGGCATCAACATAAAACTGTATTTAATAATACTCATATGACTGAGCTTAATCCATTAAGCCCTAAAAAAGCTGAGCTCTTTTTAAACAGGCCAAAGCCAGATATCCGGTTGCTTGATTCTATCAAATCAGATAAAAGAGAAGCTTGAAATCTGATCAACACGGTAATACTGATATTCAGAAATTGAGACGAGACAATAAAACTATGGTAAATGGCAGTTTTATTACCTGCTCTCTAATCCTATTTCCAAACGCACGTGCAAAGCCAAAGCCTGGAATCTAAACAGAAGAAATCGATGAGTTAGAGAGAGAATTATCCCACGGGATCAATTACTATTTATACTGGAATGTGAGTATTTCTGAGAGAATCGGCTGCTCCTGCTAAACAGCTTGGAGAATGAAGAAAGTGTTGTAGTATAGTAGTAAAATAATTTTATTTTTAAGCGGTGCTTTAGCATCTAAGGCCATTTACACCTCTAAAGAGGGCAGTAACAATAATAAATTTACATGGAAATATCAGTAAGTGTTGCCTTTTTTAAGTAAGCGCGTAAATAAATAAACTGTTGGTTGAATTAGATGTTATGGACCATATTTTTGTCATGGGAACGGAGTTCCCCATGATATTAGAATCGTTCCGTTCCTTTCGCTATGGGATTCCCTATACCTCTGCGACCTTGAGCGTTTCGCCCAGTCTCCGATTTTTGGTTGATTTTCCGATGTATCAAAAACCGTTGTATTTTTTAACCAATCATGTCTCTACGTCAAGTTGTGTTGATTGCTAAAATTCGCTTTCAGCGAGTTTTTTTCCATCTTGAGATGTCGTGTCTGACTGGTAAATCTGCGCAGAACCACGAAGTTCCGTTTTTAGGCAAATTCCTTTTTTTGGGAGGTTCTGATTGGTTATTTTTCGCCATCAGTTTTCTGTTCGTTGGTGCAAAAGATCTCCTACCTCGGTGTTCTTGAGAAGCCGCCATTATCCCACCTCAAATGTGAAAAATAGAAGTAAAGAAATAATAACCATCGTACAAGGTGGAAAATTGTTCTGGAGGACTCGTTACGGATAAAGAAGTCAAAATCAGAGCTCGATTGATTGATTTAATTCATGGATACGCAAATATTGCCTTAGCTCAACTGCCGCGATCGGAATGCGTGCTGGCATGAACCTCGAGACGCATTAAAACAGTGCAAACCATGGCTCCTACAGCAAAACAGCAATGCGCTTCATATCATCCCAAAAGCAGTCAAGGTCTCTTGTGATAAGTCCCGCCCATTGCCCGAGTCTTTTGTATGCTATTTTTACTCTAGCCCACGTGAATCCATTATAGCCTAGTTGACTAAACCGCCTCGTATTTTTGATTCGGGGCGGGCACCCGGCGATCGGGATTTCGATACCCGACGATGGGAACTACTTTTTAATGGTTGTATTGAATGTTTTAGACTAATCATCAAAAAATAATTAATAGTAGATGATAAATGTACGAACATTTTCTCGTGAGTCAATATGTTAAACAAAAATACTGGAATATACCTTCTTCATATAATCAGCCACATGTTCCCCCAAATTAATGACGTTATTTTCTTTTTTCAATAAAGTTAATTTGCATTCAACGTTCGTAAGTTAAGCAAAAAGTACCTATTGATACAAATAGAAAGACATGAAAATAGTATGTCTAACATTTCAGTTGTTTTTTTTTTATTTATTTTTTGTTTTTTTGTTTTTTCAATAAAACAAATTGACTGGGACTAGAATCATTGTGTCTCTGAAGACAAAAGCTAAGTTTTTTGATACAGAAATACTAATATATTCATCCTTCATATAATCAGGGAGATGTTGACCCAAATATTGATGTATATTTTCTCTGTTCGCCCAAATTAATGATGGTATTTTCTTTTTTCAATAAAACTAATTTACATTCCACGTTCTTAAAGCAATATTTTCTCCAAAACTCAGCAAAAAATAACAATTTATACCTACGCAAAAAGTAAATATATAAATAAATAAATAAATAAATAAATAAAGCAATGACATGAAAGTAGTATAGGTAGTACACATCTAACATTTCGGTTACATCTATTTGAATGAAAAAAATGGCAACTTAGGAAGCACATAGGTCACTTATCGACGGTGAAACTACCAAACCACGTATCTCGGTTTGCGACGTCGCAGACTTCCTGTCATACTTTATTTTTTGAATGAAAAGCTACTTAACGTCCAGTCTTGAAAATTTCCGTGATTTTTCCTCTTCGTGCAGAGAAAATTCTGTGAAAATTTCAAGGAATGATATTGATTTGGTCTACTTCAAAAAAATAAAACGTGAGCGGAGATTTTTAAACACCGCAAACGAGATACGTGGTTTGGTAGTTTCACCGTCGTTATGATGCGTATTCGGGCATATGCGTAGAGTAAAAATATCATACTTTACGCCGAAAAAACGAAACTGAAAGTTAAATGCGTTAACTTCCAAAAACCATACATAATCCAACGAAAATAAATAATTGGTAAATAACAGCTTTCTTGTATGCAAAGAAAAAAAAATTAATAAAAATGTTAAAAAAGAGATGTCGACACAAAATTACATAGCCCCTTCAATTCTGAAGATACTACTAACGAACTGTACCTTAAAATTTTCATATCCCAGAAGCAAAAGTTCCCATGACGAATATTGCTATCGCTAGCGATTGCAAAAACCAACTTGTTTCCTTCTTATTTTCATAAGCATTCTGCTATATGAGTGTCTTAAACTGGCTGAAAGAGCTTGATGCAAGAACGGCTTCTCCCCCTCCCCCCTTGAATTTCTTCAAACTTTGTCTGTTGATGATTACTCATACTCGAGCGTTTCTTTCCTCAAATTTTCAGACCCCCCAAAAAATCTGGGGGGCGCTAGGGGGGCGGGTAGGGGGTGGAAGTCAAAACTTGTGAACCTTGGTATCTCTCGAACAGAGAAAGATATCGAGATTCGAGGTCCGGTTTAGACACACACGGTGTCGCACGGTTAAGCTCCGCACAGGCCCACTGAGCGGCCGGTCGGCCTCTAATGTAGCAATACGAAGCTGTACTTGTAGAAAAGTGAATTTCTTTGAAGTATCTGTAATTTTGGAACTCAGCGACCATCAAGAATCTCTAAAATTTATTTCGCACGGTGTGAACATTCAATCTGTTTTAATAACACCCAAACCCGGCTTTGTAACCACAGTGTGACGCGCGCGTAGAGCGGAAACTTCGAGATATTGAGGTTCACAGGTTTTGACTTCCACCTCCCCCCCCTAGCATCCCCTCAAAACTATTTGGGGGTCGGACAATTTAAAAATAGAAGCGCTCAAGTATGAGTAATCAATAGACAAAGTTTGAAGAAATTCCAGAGTCGGGGCGAAAAAAACCGTTTTTGCATCAAGCTATTTGTTCTAGAGCACTCAAAAATCCATTAAATTTTTAGGAATGTGCCTAGAGCCTCCACTCGCCCCTTGCCCTCGGGTTTCAAAAGAGGATTATTGCTGTAACACTTCCCTCTTGTTCATAAGTATTAACCGTACAATTTGCAAGAAACGTACCTCAATTTTCAACACGGTAGATTGCTATTTACATTTCATACTTAGGGAGGGCGATTAACGAAAATCATATGATAGAATTTTTGATGGTCATTTTTCATCCTATCAGAATATTTTAAGAAAATTCAAATATGAAAGGTCCCTCTGTCCTTCTCTTCTCTCTCATGCTAAAAACATCTGAGGCTTAAAAAAAAGTAATCCTTATTTACACGCAATAACTTTTGCCGTTCTCGTGAACTGAAGGCGAAATGTGGTTTTGTCGTCCGTTATTAGGTCTACGCGTCACGTTTTCTCACCACTCATAGCCGTGAATAAGGACGATATTTATCTTTTTCGATGCTTTAAGGTGATTCGACGGACGTCATATTTCGTGTCAGAACGACATGCGATGTATCGCATCGAGCGGTTCCATTTTTACAGCCACTCGTCATTTTTCCGAATTTTTGGATCGCGATTCTGTTGTCAGGATACTAAGGAATTCACTTACCAATTTTGACGAACAAATTCAACGTAATAAAGGCGTGGTTTTTTAGAGGAAAAATGTCGCATTTGAGTGCAGTTTCGATATCTGTATCGAATTCGATATTTTTCCTCTGGGTGAACCACGCCTTTATTACGTTGAATTTGTATGTCAAAATTGGTACGTGCGATCGTGCATTCTTCAGTCTCATGACAACAGAATTGCGATCTCAAAAGTCGAGAAAAGTGACGAGTAGCTGAAAAAATGGAACCAATCTATGCGATATATCGCATGCCGTTCTGACGCAAGAAATAGCGTCCATCGAATCACCTTGAAGGAACATTATTAATTTTCACTCAAGAATGCGGAATAGGTAAAGAGTGGATGGGTCTTTGCGAGAAATGTTTACGCTCATTTTAGGGAAGGTCTCAAACCTATTTTTTTTTATTTTTCATGCTGATGAATGATAAAAAGTTACAAATAATGTTCTTTTTTGTGTTATTAGAATGTACGATCTTTGGTCACGCTATATTTATAGAGAAAAATGTATGTCTCCTGAAATTTTAAATGATTAAAGTATCATAATGGTTTAAACCTTAAATTAAATCAGGAAGTATAAGTTCGCTGTATTTTATTAGGATCAAAGATGTATATTTTTGTGGGTGTGAGCTTCACGACAAAATACCGAGAATATCTCAAAAGAAAATTAATATCTTCTACGAATTTCCAGGATATAAAGCAAGGCGACGGTGTAAGTCGGCAATCACATAACTCGCTTGCGGTGTCTGAAAATCTCCGCCTCTATGTTATTTTTTTAAAGGAGAACAAATTAACACCATTCCTCAAAGTTTTTGCAGAATTTTCCTTGCTCAGAGAAGAAAAACCGAGGCCGTTTTAAAGAATTGCCGTTGAGTAGTTTTCCGTTTAAAAAATAAAGTATGACAGGAAGTCTGCGACGTCACAAACCGAGTTATGTGATTGCCGACTTACACCGTCGAAGTAGGTATTCAATGAAGCTCAAGGAATAATTTTAATCGTGTATGGCGAAAATACAGGAATTTTTGGATTTCGGTAGAAAATGGCCGACATTTATGTTATAAGTCAATGAAAAAACCGCTGTGAAATCAAGCCTTTTCAAACGTCTGAAAGTTTTTAACGCTACCTTAGACGAAATATTTTCTGCTTTTTGACTAGAGTTTGCTCGCCAAACAAGAAAGAAAGTTCTTTGTAAATGTATGATCGATTCATGAATTGCAAAGACTTTTAGTAATCAGTAGACATTGCTCTTATGCCTCATAAAACACAATATTAGGTACTGAAAAATTTTACCGTAAAAATATGTGAATCATTTGATGGAATTTGAGAAAAGCTGATAATTTTATCAGCTTTTTCCTTATGAGAGTGAAAATACGGAAAAATCTGCTTACAAACATTCATAATGTATCTTCATATTATACTAGCCGCTCGGACGCGCTTTGCGCGTCCGTCACGGCTAGCCAAGGGGCTGTGCCCCATGGAACCCCAGTCATACGCGAATATTCGGCTTCAAAAATGCCAATAAAATTTATGAAGTGCCGTCATGGAGACGGAGATTCTCAGACACCGGAAACGAGATATGTGATTGCGGACTTACGCCGCGCCGTCGATATGCGCAATGCGTGAAGTATTCTTTTGACCTTGTAGGCGCTAATATGCGCTTCTCGCCGACCGCACCGTTTTGCGCAATGCGAGAAGTTTTCCGGCGGGCTTGTAGGCGCTAACGTGCGCCTCTCGCCAACCGCACTGTTTGGCGCAATGCGCGAAGTATTCTTGCGATCTTATAGACGCTAATATGCGTTTCTGACCCCGCTGTGTTTGGCGCAATTATTCAAACTTACTTTAAAATATTTATTTTAAAATTTTCCCAGGAAGGCGGCTTCTCGTCTCTCGCAGACTCTATTGTTGCAAGATAAGTTGCTTTTCCGACACTCTTCCCAGTCCAAACCCATGTAAAATATTCACATTTATCCCACAATCTGGCAACCCCACGAGTGAAATAGAAAAAGGTGGAATCGACTGAAAGTCTGAATCCTTCGAAGTTTATATCAATGATCTTGAAAATATTACACTATATGCTTAGGAATATGATATAATGCCTTATTTGAGATCTAGTCTGCCTGCATATAGGAAAACCCCGAAGATTGTGAACTTACCTCTTGCGGCGCAGCATTTACAGTCCCCAGAATAACTGCCGAGGCGAAGAGCTAAAATTGAACAAAAAAAAATTTAGGGGCTTTACTCTTAGCCTTTAATTAGAATATTAATAATCCAAATGTCTTCTACATCAAATACCAGTTAAACAAATACCCGAAGAAAAGTAATCAATGAGTCTTTTTTATGACCTCCGTAAAAATGCCCGTACATTAGGTATTACACAAATTGAGCTTGAGCGTTTTTTCATTTTTTGTCCAATGCGTGAATTGGGCAATTTTTCATGAAATGGTCAATTTTCGCGCCATTTCACGATGTGGGTAACAACATTGCCCATTTCATGAATTGGGCAATTACACGATCTAAGCGTAACACACCCATTAAATACGCCATTGTAGTGAAAACTCTTGCTTAGAGCTTCACAATGGCGCAAAATATTTTATATGCCAAACCCACACCTTTACAAAGGTCCACACATTACGAAGCCCCCAAAAAAGATTACGAAAATGTTTAACTAAAATCCCATGGTTCACAAAAGACTGACATATTTGAATGTTCACAGATGTGATCATGCAATCACTGGTTGCGTGCGGTGTTTGCGTGATAACTATGGGTGACAGGCAGCCTCTTAACTTTTTTTCATTATTATTATTATTAATATAAGTTATTAATTTTTAAATACTTCTCTGTAACCGAAATGAGCCTACATTGGTTGCAAGAGACAACTTACCCCATAATGTCTTTTTCAATATTTTAACCTCGTTTTCTCAATGTTTTTAGCTATCCGCTTTCGCAATCGTAAACCTTAAAAATGTAATTAATCCCGCATTCCATGCCGCAATTCTCCGCAATTCTCATACTCGTAAATCTTCAAATAATTTCTACACCCTTAAGAGCCAATTTCTGGCAAAGAGGTCAGAATTACCACCAGTAACCAACAGGGAATCCAAGTTCCATCTTCCTCTGAGCGAGATATAGATGGGGTGGTAGGAGAGGGATGTGGTTGAAACTTTTTTTAGTATCTATCGTGTAATGACAGTTAGACAAAAGAATTCGTCCTTTTAAATAATTTGATCCCACAATATTAATATTGAAGTAGCGTTTTCCAACAAGAGAACTAAAATCCTTTAAAGTATTTTTGCAATTTTGAAGCTATATTTAATATCACGATAAAATTGCCAGGATTATCAAGCAAAAAAAAACAAAAAAAAAAAAAAACTTGACAAATTACCGCACTGAAAAAATAAAACTCCGGCCATGGAAGCTGTACTTACGGGCTATACAGGCATACCGTCCGCGTTCCGGGTGTAGCACCCGGAGCAATTGGACTACATTTTGCAATTCGGAAATATAAATTCTGGCTCTTCTGGAAAAACACTTATATGCATAGGGAAACTAATGGCACTTAAATTGTTTTTAAACCGGGCTAGAATTTATAGTTCCAAATTGCAAAATGTAGTCCAATTGAAGCTACGGCTCTGGCACCTAGGACTTTCAGCCTCTGAGCCCGGAACGGACAGTATGCCAATATGTCAAGGTAGGCCATAAAACATCCACCGTGCAGTAATATCTATCCGATCGAGGATTCGTGTCTTACCTTGCCTGTAAATCTCACTCCGTAATAAATTATGACACATTTTAACCTGGCAAGTGGACAAGATTAAACAAGGAGGAAGCTGGTGTTTTGATTTTTTCGCTTTTTTGCTTTATTTTCTTAAAGAAAAATGAGCCCGGAGTACTTTTGAGCCCAATTAGCCGCATATTTTCGCTCACAAAAAAATCAAAACGGAATAAAAATATTTGAACTTTATCGCTAATATTTTCTAATAGCGGAACGAGACTTTAGACTTTTCTCGCTTATAACTCGATGCTGCTAGCTTGGTTCCTTTCTAGTGATCGCGTTCTAATGTTGAAACTAGCCTTACTTTGATTTCAGATCTCTCTGATCGGGTTTCTTTGAAAGTAACTACGAAAAACACCCCTGATCGGATGTAATGAATTTACGTGATACTCACAGCAGAAAATAAGACAAGCATCGTTCCGCGAGTGCCTGACATTTCGACCAGTGGGGAGATAACTTTTGGGACCACCATTAGATGTTTTAGTCCCGCTCTGATAGGGTGTTTCCTTACTTCGGCCAGACTCGCACTGAATAGACTCAACTAGTAATTTTGCCCAATATCCCTCGGAAAATATGCCTAAAGCGGAAATGCCAATATTTGCTTCGCTTGATTTTTGAAGGACTGACTCTCCAGCCAGTTCTGTTGACATTTTTGAAGCATACGGTGACGCTTACCGCTTTTTTGGAACATAAATCGTGCTAAATGACATGTGTCACGTTCTTTTGAAGATTTGTGTGCAAAAAAGATCATCGAGCGGCAATAAAATTGATAGAAAAAATCAATCCGCGAGAACGATAACGATATAGGCACCCGTCAAAAAATCGATGTCATTAATATTTGCTCACAGATCATGAGTCCACGAGAAATGAGCAAATGAATTGCGTAACAATCTGCGGAAAGTAGAGGAATTCGAGCGCTTGTACATACGCTTTCAACATGAAATAACTCAATGTCCCTATTTTATATGTGTAAATAAAATCCGCAATTATATAAGCTCGATTTAAGAGTGCTTGATGAGCGGAATTCGCATTTTTCATATTTTATCCTCTAAAATGGAAAATTGGAGGAAGGTAGATTGAAAAGTGAGAACATGTGCCCCATTGTGACGTCATCTGGGGGCAGTTTCCATCCGAACGCATGTATCAAAATACACATGTACACATGTCCAAATTATGTTATTTTGTCCAATTATTGTTACATTTCCTCCAATTATTGTTCAATTTAGAAACCAAGGGTATCCACGTGCTTAGTTTTCCTGGTATTTTCATTTTAAATATGAAATGTACAAAATTTTAAACACCTGCAAATTTTCCATTCCAGCTTTAAAAAATCAAGACCAGGATTTTGAATATCCAGGGAATGTGCTAGAAAACTCAGATTTAATGAGACGACCTATGGTCGCCGCAAAAGTATACCTAGCGAATCGAACCGATCGCGATACATCAATTTTTTTTTTCATAAAAGAGTACTTGAGGCAAACAGATTCGACTTTATTTTGATACCCATATTCTCGCGCATTTTATGCAGAGCATTAGTTTTCATTTTTGGTCAACCGGTCAATGAGAAAATCAGGTGCAAAATCGCTGCAAAAAATGCAGCGATCTGCTTTAGCAGTGCATGCAGCCGTGCAATTTTAAGAAAATCCGAACTAACTAGTCACGGGAATGGAGTCTACTATTTTCTAAACCTCGGAGTTTGAGTCAAAGTAAATTTACAAGTTACATTGAGTTCAGTTTGCTCATAAGTGATGCGAACATGCTATAACAATCTGCAGTGTGTTGTTTGAGCATATTTGAGTGACTTTTCTTATCATTCGCATATTTACATATTTATCTGACTCCGATTTTACACCAACTCCGAGGTTTAAAAAATAAGTGTCCTCGTTCCGATATTTATTTCCTTACTTAGCTCAAATGAAGTATTTTCTTACCAATATGTTTGACTTTTGGCGCGACTTAAATCGAGAAATATTGGTGCAGAAATCTGTTTTCACATCGAACTGTAGAGAAAAATTTTAGAACCTAACAAATTTGTACTAGATGTCCTTAATTTTTGAAAAGTTATACACCTATACTTGAAGCTATGGTAAAAGATCGATCCTTTTCCATCAGGCTCGTAGCCAGGATTTTGTTCTGGGTGGGACTTGCGAGGTCCCCCTCTACTGCCGGGGGGTCTGGAGGGTATTCCATACCCCCCAGTCAGGAGTCCAGGGGTCCCCCTGGAACATTTTATAAATTTGTAATCTAATTAGACGCATTTCGAGGCTTTCGTGACACAGATTTTCCATCAATGTCTGCAGAAAAATTATGTTTCCCATTTGAACTTTCAGCAAAAAATGCATTTACCTACGCAATCAGAAAGATCCTGAATATTTTGAAATTTTCACTCTATTTGAACGCATTTCGAGGCCTCTGCAACACAAATTTGTCATAAATTTATGAAGGCAATTACGATTTGTTTTACTTTAACACATAATACTTTCAAACTGTTACATTCGACAAAGTTGGAAATTTTTTGAAATTTCATTTCTATTTGGACGCATTTTGAGGCTTTTCTGATGAAAATTTTAGGAATGATCACGGTGTTTTCATTTAAGACTCTACATTAAAGCAGATAAATATCTTCGCCGGTCTTCAACTTCTTCTTTTCTCGTACTTTCTCATCTTCTGTCTCCTCTTTCCTTCTCTCTTTTCCTCCATTTTTTTGCTTTTGGGGAAGGGGGGCTTGAGCCCCCCAAGCCCCTCCTGGCTACGTGCCTGTTTTCCATAGGTTTAAATGGCAGATCAATTGATAAATCGCAAAGCACGCCATGCCACTGACTCTGATTGGCAGAGAAGGCAACTTTTGCAGAGCATTATGCAATCAGAATTCATGTTGAAAGCTAAATGCGCTGACGCAGAGCCTTCCAAAATATTTGATTCTCACACTGACCGGCCCCATGCCTGCGGCTTTTTGGTTTTTCAAAATCCACGCAAATAAAGAGAGTTGGTATTTTATAGCAAACTGGAAACTTTATTTTTCCCTGCGTGTTAAGCTGATACAAATCATCAAGCTAAATATGCCCTTGATACGTTAGTATCATGACATTTATAATGCGAGTGTTTGTTTGGTAACGCCGTCCATGGTGTTTACAAGTTTAAGCTGTCGTTGCTCTTGAAAACTGCCGTACCCAGGAAAAATGCTTGATGGAAATGCGGACAATGCCAAATTTCCCCTGGTAAAATATTTGTTCCTTCTTTGGGGACCCGTAAACATTTTGAATTTCAGTTTTCAGATACTGTAGATTGAACAGCGGATTAAATTCTCGTAAAAACTAGAAGTAAAATACTCACAAGATTGTGTGGAAATTTGCATTTTATCGAAGGGCATTCGGCAGCCTCTGAGGGCTCACACGACATTTTTCCTTAATACGGCAAACATAACCACGGAAGTAGAACTATGGTTGCATGAAACATTTCCACACACTTACCGTATTATCTAATATTGATTCAACAACAGGAGGCTGTCTGCGGCAAGAATTTTATAGTGTTCTTACGATGATTTAATGATGCGAATCAGTTGGTTCAGAGTACACAATTTTTAAATTTCGAGCAATTAAAAATCCCCTCTTTTATTTTCCTGTGCCGGTTAGTTACCGGTAAGATAAGTTGGCTTGCATTTTGCAATTTGAACCAATAAAGTCTAGCTCATCTGAAAAAACACTTATGTGCATAGGGAAACTAATGGCACATACGTTGTTTTTAAACTGGGCCAGAATTTATAGTTCCAAATTGCAAAATGCAGTCCAGTTGTTCGCAATTCATCCAGTGAGGTCATTGTTAAATTACAGAATATTTTGGTAGGAAGAGATATAAAGCGAGTTGAGAGAGGGCAGTATGGGAGAAGAACCTAGTAATTAGGACGTCTAGAGTTAAAATGAAGGCACCTAGTGATGAGGCGGGCAGCAGAAGAAACTCTGCCTCTTTTTCTCTACATTATAGTTTTTTGGTATTTTTCAAACTTTTGCCTCCCCTCCAAAGCTAATTCGTGCCCACTCCCATAACACCGCTTGCCCCCGGTCTCAAGTACAGCTGAAATGCGGCGCCCGGCGCCCCACGAGGAAATAAAAAATCGAAGAACAGTTTTTTTTTTTTTTTAAACCGAGGATTTTAAAGTATGATTCGGATAAAAAAAAATCATAATGAGCTCGAACAAATTTGAAACAATACAAGTTTCTTCTCCGTTTTTAATTTTTAAAGACAGTTAAAAACTTTCAAGATTTTTTCTCTCTATAAAATAAGCAAAAAAGGAAAAAAAAGATTGGTTTGATTATTCCCTTCTAAGAATGATCAAATTAGATATCCTGCTTTAGAGGGAAACCATTTTCTGAATATCTCAGATTTAATTGTACTTATTTATGACACGAACTAAACCGAATTTGATGACTGAATAATGTTAATGTTCGTACTGCCCTGAAAAATTCCGACCTATTGCTTCATACACTGGGAAAAAAGTGGCTTGGATCCAGAGGCCAGACTCTTAATAACATAGACAAGAAAAAATAGGTACTCTTGATTCAATCCGATTTTTACTTGAATCGAAGAGCCGAGCCTCTTGATCTAGTCGGATTTCCTTCTGATTCAAGAAAAAAATCCGATTGAATCAAGAGTATTTTTTCTTGTCAACGTTTTTAAGAGTCTGGACTCTAGATCCAAACGGTTTTTTTTCCAGTGTAAATTTCTATTATCTTACTACGATAAAGGTCCTTATTACGTCCTTTTCCTTGCATATTTCCTTCGATGGGAGGAGGGTGGGGTGGGAGGTACAAGATTGCTGTACAGCTCTCTGCGGGGGAAAGGAGAGGCTACATCTGAAATTCTAAAAATACAATTTAAAAAAAGGAAAGCCTTCAAAAATGGGGATGTAACATTGATGACATGAAAAAATCTGAAATGGGCCTGTTGTGCGCAAGAGATACAGCCAACTGATACAATTTTCAAAGGTAATTTCGCTCGAAAATCACATTCGGCACATCAAGTAAGTCTGAAATTTGCTCCCCAGTGCTCAATCAGCGTGGATTATGACCCGTTTTTTCATATTTCCCGCCCTAGTAGCAGAACAAAGTTTTGGTTTTTTCTATAAAAATAAAAAAAACATATCTGTTATCTAAATGGTTTTTATATAAAAAACGTGTACCGCTTATATTAAAAAAAATCAAAGCTCATAGACCCGACCGTTATATAAAAAATGATAAAAGCTAGATAGGGTAATTTTTTTTTAATAGACAATTTTTCTATTTTTTTATATAACGCATGAATACGAAAGTGTTAAAAGTGAACATTTCTATCTAACTATTATATAAAAAAGTCGCATCATTTTCGTGAGCTTTTTGCAAAAATATTAAAAAATCTTCTGATTCGCGAAAAGCTCACGAAAATTATGACTTTTTTTATAAAATAGTTACATAAAAATGTTCACTTTTAACACTTTCGTACGCATGCGTTATGTAAAAAAAAATTAACTTTCGTACATAATCTTAATCTCTTCCTTCTATGGTTCTGCTACTAGGGCACGTATACGGACAGTTTTTCTCGGTGGCCGGTAGTCAGGTTTGCCCGCAGATAGGTCTAATCTAAATAATCAGACAATCTCGCGAACTGCTGGAAACTCACCTTGCGTAAGTTTTTAATTGATTCAAAGCTTTTGTTCTTGCAAAAATGCAAAGTAAAGAAAAGAAGGAAAGAGACGCTTGGAATCAAATGAAATTTTACAATAGAAATAGTTAGTTTCAATTCTTTAATGACTAAATTATAGATATCATGCTCATTTTGGAGACGAGACTCCTTAATGAGTCTTTTTTCTCAATACCAATTATTCATTTTATAACGCTCTTCTCTCCAACAATGGAGCACACGCTGGAGCCGGAATATTAATGAAACGTAGACTCAAACATTAATCAAACAACGTAGAATGACACTATAGCACAGGGATTGTTCCCATTTACGTCAAACACTATTAATTTAAGTCAACAAAAAATGACTATTGCCTGTATTTACTCTCCTCCACATCACTCCCCAAGAGATAGATTATACGCTAATCTAATCGATCGTTCTAAATCTGACAGCTGGGGATTGCAATTCGAAAAACTTTGCATGAGGGTATAAATCCATATACTTCAAAGGCCGCAATTTACCAGAAGTAATAAACTCACTGCAAGCGGAGATCGCATCGCCCTACGCACTACCCAACTGATTTTATAAAATCACCTGATATTATAGACTTTGGTGTTTTTAAAGGTTTTTCAAAACAAAACATCAATACAACAGTAATTGAAGATGAGCTATCATCCGATCACATTCCGGTTCACTTTCATTTAGCAGCTACTCCGATTTTTGCTACCCTCCCCTGCTTTGCTTGAGAGTATAGTGGTTTCCAATTTTGTCGTCTTTCGGTGATACTAGAAACAGTAACTTTAATTGGTCGAGTTAAGAGAGAAACCAAACACGCAATTTGGCCTGGAGCGGCGCGGTGCAGAGAGCAATGATGACGAGGACTTGATAAAAAGGAGAAGCCCTCGGCGCGGCGCGGCGCGGCGGTCGGCATGTAACACATATTAGCGCCTACAAGACTGCATGAATACTTCACGCATTGCGTCAAAGACAGCGCGGTCCCTACGGTCAGCAGCGGACGCCGTGGAACGCATAGTGCCTACAAGACTGCATGAATACTTCACGCATTGCATCAAACACAGTGCGGTCAGCAGCGGTCGACGTGAAACGGTTAGCGCTTACAAGACTGTTGTTGGAATACCTACTTCGCGCATTGTGCCAAATACAGTGCGGTCAGCGCGGCGCGGCGGCGAAAGTTAAAGTTATTAAACCGCATTTATGTTAGTTCTTTCATAATTTTTTCGTTCAATTCTTATAAATGGAAGGCCTTGTCCATACACAGAGATAAGTTACGGACCTTGACTTCCGTGCAAAGTTCCGTGGAATTTTGCCAGTGTTGACACGACTTTCACAAAAAATGTGCCCAAAACGGTAACCCCCCTCTCGACTGATAAATAGGGCAACGGACTGGGACACGTTCAATGAATATACCTTTCAAAGACAGAGTAAAACTGTGCGTCGACACACGTTTAGATACACCCGAGAAAATAGACATGGAGTTAGAAAATTTTGTTAAAATTATACAAGATGCAGCACGAAATTCCACCCCCCCCCCCTCTAATACAACACTTAGAGGCAGGATTTAAAACCCCACCTCATGAATTAAAGATAAAAGAAAAGGAAAGTGAGGAAAAAATGGTCAAGATCACGCGATTCAGAGGACAAAACCTATTTGAATACCTTATCAAGAGAACTCACTAATGAGCTCTGGAAAATTAGAGACTACCAATTAGAATCACATATTACAACACCAGATGCCAATCCGGCCTCGGAATGTTTGCTCTGGAAGGCTACAAAATACATAAAGCGCCCTTCACCTTATGACTCCCCACTGTTTAACGCAAACACAAAGAAATGGGCTAAAACAGACCAACATAAAGCCAACCTACATGCTGCACATCCAGAACAAGTTTTTAAACAAAATTCACGACCGAACGCCACAAAACAGGAAGTTTTCCAGTTCTTGGCAGAGAGCGATCTTATAGAACTAGATTATGAAATCTTTCAATTCTCATTTGGAGAGGTAACCAAATTAACCAGTAAATGTAAGACCAAAATATCACCAGGAGAGGTCCAACTTACCGGTCTCATCTCTCTGGTGGAATAAAAGGAACTCAGATATCCATAGAGATCTTGGTATGGAGACGATCTCCCGATATATTACCAAAATCGCAGCAAATTACGAGCGACGTCTCCATTCCCATCCTAATATTGAGGCAATTCAACTCCTAGATAACGCTAATGAATAGAGATCATCGGGCATTGCCAAATTTCCTTTGATAAAACTCGAATTTCTTGGTAAACTTATGAAAATATTTCTTCAGTTAATCAGATAATTATGCTCGCAATTCCACCGAAAAGTTCTGAAAATTTCAAGGGAAAATATTCATAACTTTCCTTCTAAATGAACAACTTAAACCGTAGGAACTGGCCAGCCCCCCCCCCCCCCCTCAAGCCGTGGGAACTGGCCAGCCCCTCGGTTTGAACCGGTCTGACCCTTCGATTATATCACTTCATATTGTCTCACGTAAATATATTACGAACTTCTCGGTTGTTTGTATATTCATTTTTATTTTATATTTATTGACAAAGTGTATATTTCCATGTATAAGGAGGCTCACTAAAAACTAATGAAAAAATAAAGTAAAGAAAAATAAAATAATAAGAAATAGTTAGTCAATGGTTTGTTTGCTTTGGGTAGTTCTTCCTTACTCCTCTGCTCGTGTAAACCTGAGAAAAACAACTGTCCGCAAACGCAATAAAGTTGAAAAAGCGTGTTACAAACTACGCAGATTGCGCGCTGAGGAGTGGATTTTAGACTTTATCGTGATTTTCAAAGGCGGATCCAGCAATTTGGCAACACCGGATTTCCTGCATTGAAACCTATGCTAAATTATCGATTCTTGTCGGAGCGCCCGGCCCCTCCAAGGATCGATACATTTCTACAGGTTTAAATTAAGGAGATCCGGTGTTGCCAAATTGCTGGATCCGCCAATGGTGATTTTCGAACGAATTTTCTCTTGACACCTATATTTAGTTGGCCGTATATCTTGCAGGTCTAGACTTTATCGTGATTTTCAAAAGCGGATCCAGCAATTTGGCAACACCGGATTTCCTGCATTGGAACCTATGCTAAATTATCGATTCTTGTCGGAGCACCCGGCCCCTCCAAGAATCGATACATTTCTACAGGTTTAAATTAAGGAAATCCGGTGTTGCCAAATTGCTGGATCCGCCAATGGTGATTTTCGGACGAATTTTCTCTTGACAATTATATTTAGTTGGCCGTATATCTTGCTTGCAACAGATCCATTCTATAATGTTCACACAAAGAGAGTGCCGACTCCCGTGCTCTGGGTGACGTGACGTTGACACACGTCGACGGCGAAACTACCAAACCACGTATCTCGGTTTGCGACGTCGCAGACTTCCTGTCATACTTTATTTTTTAAAGGAAAAACTACTTAACATCCAGTCTTGAAAATTTCTGTGATTTTTCCACTTTGTGCGGAGAAAATTCCGTGAAAATTTCAAGGAATGATATTGATTTGGTCTACTTCAAAAAAATAAAATGTGAGCGTAGATTTTTAAACACCGCAAACGAGATACGTGGTTTGGTAGTTTCACCGTCGACGTGTAGGTATACAGGTACAATGTACATCGACGCCTCGACGGTGCAACTACAAAAGGACGGATTCCAATTGTATTTTTATTCAAAATTTCTACTCTCTTTGGTGTTTAAAAAGAATATCGCTACTTTTCAAAGAATGGCTTTGAAGGGACAAAGAATCACGGGAAATTTTTCTGATGACAAGGATCAACTATTATTAGGAGAAAAAAATGGACTGCATTTTGCAATTTGGAACTATAAATTCTAGCCCGGTTTAAAAACAACGTATGTGCCATTAGTTTCCCTATGCACGTAAGTGTTTTTCCAGAGGAGCCAGAACTTATAGTTCCAAATTGCAAAATGCAGTCCACATGTAACAGGAAAACCGCAACGCCGAATACAGAAATATACGTGCTTTGGTCGTTTCACCATCGCCATGCTGTTTGTACGGAGAGAGCTTTTACTGCTTGATTTTCCCACTGTATACCAAAAAAATTGCAACGAGTTCTCCACTCAGGCAGCTTTTAAAAGCCAGCATTTGCGTCAATGGGTGTGAATATCGTGTCATGTGCTCACCTATAAATATTTTCCAGTCCTGAGACCAAGGCCGGATTAGCACCCAGGGGCCCGGCCCCGGCCCAACCGATAAAATGAGACCTTGTTGAGCTCTTTTGGTCAAAAACTGACCGAGATATGACGTTTCTCCTGTGGCATATTGAGAGACCGCCTCCAGGATTTTAGGGGTACTTTTTGAGAAGAAAAGAACAAGCCAGCGACAAAAACTGCTTCTGTCTAAACAACCGCCCTTGTACACTTCTCTCATTTCTTTATACGTATCATTTAGCGACAATCCATGCCGAAAACAATAGTAGATGACGTAATGTTGTTATTTTTTCAACGTTTCGCTTGCACTCAACATCGCGAAAAAGATGAGCAACATTAACCACGTGACAGACCAGCCGACTCGGTTGAATGATTCTCTCACACATATATCGACGGTGAAACTACCAAACCACGTATCTCGGTTTGCGACGTCGCAGACTTCCTGTCATACTTTATTTTTTAAATGAAAAGCTACTTAACGTCCAGTCTTGAAAATTTCCGTGATTTTTCCTCTTCGTGCGGAGAAAATTCTGTGAAAATTTCAAGGAATGATATTGATTTGGTCTAGTTCAAAAAAATAAAATGTGAGCGGAGATTTTTAAACACCGCAAACGAGATACGTGGTTTGGTAGTTTCACCGTCGATATGTGGCACCGCCTCGGCAAGCAATGTTGCCAAACCCTCCCTTTATGTTACCTACTTTATCTTGAAATGTATTTCGTAAAAGATCAGACTTAATGTTGACTTTTTAAGACTTTTCACAGCTTGCTGCAAAAAGTACCCCTAAAATCCTAAAGGCGGTCTCTCAACATGCCGCGGGTGAAGCGTCATACGTATCTCGGTTAATTTTTGAGCTCAGCAAGGTCTCATTTTATCGATTTTTACTCCGTCCACACGAGTACGTACACCGATTTTTTAAGCGTGCCAATAGGGCTCGCTTTTTGAAATCACTCGGATGTACCATAGTACAGCACACCGATCAACCAATGCTATTCAACGGGCCGTCCAAATATTTTTTTCCTCGGACCCGTTTTCTTGTCTTTGAACCATTATACTGTCAAGCCCTGATGGTCTCTTACCAAAAAACCGAATGAACTGCTAATTGGGAACCCTTGAGAACATTTTCCTGTCAAAACCGTATTATTTCATTTGACAAAAAACTCATAGGAGCTTTCTTACGCTCGGAGGACTCAACTCTAGAACCTTCTTTCCCGCCAAAACTGTTTAGCCAATGAGCGTCTTGCACTGCAAGTGCAATCTGTGATGAGCCTCGTGACTCTTTATACCATGTACTAACCGTGGCCCCTGCAGAAATCCACTCAAACCACTGCAGTTATCTCCCGATATAGCTTTGGGTGTCAGGTTTCGAGCAAGGCAATAAAAGACGGCGAGGAGAGGGTCGCCTCGTCGAACCTATTATCTTCCACGCCCGATTAACCATTCACCGTGACGCCAGGATCCACCAAATTTTCAAAAAAATTGTTTTCCGTCTATTTAGCGAGTTTTTCCTTACTTTCCGTTAAAGTACAAATAAAAAGAGACCTCATTTGTAAAAATCGTCCGAATAGGAGAGAAGTTACAGTTCGAAATCCAAAGAGATTAACTCAACGCGATTTCGATGCACGGCAGTTCGCCCAAATCACGGTCGTGCGAAATGCCGCATATCAGCTTAAAATCAAGATAATTGGACGGAATCTTTAAAATCAATTTACATTCAACGTTCATGAATCAATATTTTCTCCCAAATTTAGCAAAAAGTACCAATTGATGCAAATAACAAAGACGTGAAAATAGTAGGTATGTGTCCAACATTTTAGTTATTCGGCACGCTTTTCCAACATATTCATGTTGGATTTTTCTGCTTGTTTTTTTTTAGCTTTGCGTTCGCTCTAACTGTCACTCCATCTTTTCTTTGCAAAAAATACCTCTAAAATCCTGAAGGCGGTCTCTCAACATGCCGCGGGTGAAACGTCATATCTCGGTTAATTTTTGACCAAAAGAGCTCAACAAGGTCTCATTTTATCGGGTTTTACCCCGCCTACGAGTACATGCACCGATTTTTTTTAGCTTTTTCCGTTTGCTCTAAAAGCCGATCATCACATTACTTTTTGGACAACCCATGTATGAGTCTGTCGACGCTAAAATACACGTGTCTTTTCTCTGGTGAACCATCATAGAATGGAGATGTTGCATGTGTGAGGAATTTGCGATTGGACTGTTGATTCTCGTGCAAAAGTTCGCGAGAAACACGATGGTGCCTCTGGTTTTCTCTAAAATTAACTCCTCAGCTCAAAAAAAGCTCTCAAGTTGAGGCCAAAATGGAGGGGATATCCCACGAGAGTCTACCTCTACATCAAGACAAACTCTGTATTCAAAGATAGGGAGCAAATACATTGACAGGGCTGCCACTTTATTTGGGGACTCCAAAACTGAAAACACGGCAACCCTGCTAATGTATTTGCTCCCTATCTTTGCATGGAGATTTTGTTTTGATGTAGAGGTGGACTCTCAGGGTAGGGTGGGATATCCCCTCCATTTTGGCCTCAACTTGAGAGCTTTTTTTGAGCTGAGGAGTTAATTTTAGAGAAAACCAGAGGCACCATCGTGTTTCTCGCGAACTTTTGCACGAGAATCAACAGTCCAATCGCAAATTCCTCACACATGCAACATCTCCATTGGAGGATTCTTACGGATCTCAGCTCTTAAAAGAAAGCGAACGCGTTTAATTTTAAAATCCAATAACTCTTATGTACTGCACGAAAATGCAAAATCAGATGTGCAAAAAATCCCTCACTCAAAAAAAAAAAAAAACGAATAAAAATTAAAAATGCGAAGGGCGTGCTGACAAAGTGAATAAAAATGAAACAAAAAATCCCATCGCTGAAATGCGGGAGCTTCAAGCGAGTGCGTACGTGCCTTGGATGAGACAGTCTTGTTCGAGATGCTACAATCCCAGTGTGAGTTTCGCTTCTCTTCATTCGGAGGTACTTACATTCAAATTTATTTTATTTTTCTTTAGAAGCGATTTTAATGCTCAGAAGTAGAGTTTGACCCTTGGTTACGATACCATTACGATACTACCCAACCAAAGCATGCCTCAAGAGGTCTGAGGACCTTGGGGTGGCTGAACCGTTCGTATTTTATTCAGAAATTGACTTAAAAGTATTGATAGAATTAACGCAATGAATTTAGAGATTGAATGAGTTAGATGAGAGGCCAAACTTTTCATTTGGAAGTCCTTCTACGTTGGAGATCAGTTTTGAAGTGACTCATATTGGAAACCTAAATTCATAGGCGGTTCTAGACCTTCATGCTTAGGGGTGCCCAGAGGCGGAAAATTCTCCAACATTTCTCAGGGGAGGCCTAAGTTTCGGGCCTCAAGTTTTATCCCTTTCCTACACTCCTTTCTCTTTTTCTCTCCTTCCTCTCTACTTAAATACCTATAAATTCAATGTAGAAAATTTTTAGCAAAAATTTCCATCAAAACTACAATCTTACCATAAAAAACAGTAGAATCTTTGTAAAACACGGCTATCAATATTAATTCTGTTTAAAACATTTTCAAATAATTGCTGGGATTTTTTCTCCATGTGAGCGAATACAGAATCTTTATAAGCAGTTATTTCACGGTTCCGATAATCCATTAATTTTTGCTTGGGGGTGCCCGGCACCCACTGGCACCCCCGTAGAACCGCCTATGCCTAAATTTTAACTGCATCTATTCGTTCTTAATTTTGCGTATTCTTATGGAGGAGCGACTGCATGTGTTTACAGTCGTCTAGTGGATCTTGTTTAAAAGGTAGTTATTTTTGGGTTGATCTCAAATTGATCTTAACATTGCACTCAGAGAAAATTGCTCCGAGAATTTTTTCTGATTTTTCTTTCCTTCTCTCTCTTTTTCTTTCTTTAAATGGCCTTAGATGCTAAAGCACCGCTTTAAAATAAAATTATTTTACTACTACTACTACTCTCTTTCAAACACACAGAGGTGTAAATGGCAAAATTTAACCTTTCCCCCCAACCCTTTTGTATTTTTACTTATGTGACCTTGATTTCCATGTAAACACACATAGGTGTAAATGGCCTTAATTGCTAAATCACCGCTTTAAAATAAACTTATATTACTACTACTACTACTTTCTATATTTCTGTCTCTCGTCTGCCTTTCTTTCTTTCTTTCTTTCTTTCTGTATTACTGTTACTGCCCTCTTTAGAGGTGTAAATGGCCTTAGATGCTAAAGCACCGCTTTAAAATTAAATTATTTTACTACCACTACTTTTTTTCAAAACATTTGGAACTTAGGACTGAAGCCGTTAAATTGCATTATTGATACCATTTCTTATAAACAGGACTAACATTTTTCAAAGTTCAGATTTAGTGCAAACCTCGAACAATCGGATCTTTTGCTTGGTTCGATACAAAGACGTCTTTGTGAAAAAGTGCCAGTCAGTTACTATTTTATGAAATGTGACATACATGATAACATACGTGAAGATTCTCCCAAAATTACAAACCTCATAGATTGAGTACTATTGTTTTTGCTTCGAAGCTGCAGTCAAACTGTCTACTTCGAAAGTGATTTTTCGCATTAATATTGTATTCACGATAGGAGAAAAACATCTTCTGGGAGGGGAAAGCAAACCCGCTATTGGAAGGAAGTACTTCTTCCTCAAACACACCCTCTCCCCCTGGATCAAAAGTATGACGACGATGCCTAAACTCTGAAAATATGTAACTCGAAATGCGGCATTGTAATGTTCTCACTGTACCTATTTTATTTTTTTAAAGGAAAACAGCTCGTCACTATTTAACGTTTTTTTGCCGCATCTTACTACCACTTTAAAATTATTCCATTAAAATATCAAGGCATGACAATGTTTAGTTGTCCTTAAAACGCAAGATTTCTTGAGCTGCTCTATTTGAGTTGGGTACGTGTCCTCGGAGTTCAGCCATCCATGTTGTGCTTTCAAGCGTCATGGTGCGAACCGCCCGTGGTTTTCAGCGGCAAAAAATACAAACATGAAAGAGAGAAAAAACTTGTAAAAAATTAATTCGCAGAATCAAGAACACGTCACAATCAGTAATTTTCAGTTTTCCGTGACGCGTTGGCTATAATTCGCACCTTGATTGCAGCCGTTTAATTATTCTATACCATGGTGTACGTAACGATTTCGATGGTTGAGGAACGCGTTGGCGATAATTCGCACCTTGATTGCAGCCGTTTAATCATTCTATACCACGGTGTACGTAACGATTTCATCCTGCGCATTTTTTGGTTTTTCTAAAATGCGGCATGATGTCGCACAGTTGTAGCGGTGTTTTCGTTTTTGAGAACATGAAATCCAAAATTTTGATATTTTGAGAGAGAAAATTGGAACTTGATGTTTTTACAACTGTACAAATTTGGCATAGAATATTTTCGAGAATGGTTGAGGACACTCCACGAATTTTTTGTGCAATTACGACTGTCCACTAAAACCTTAATCGTTTACATTAAAAACATCTCGGAGTGAAACGTTGACCAACTTAGACAGAGAATTACTCAAAAGCCAATGTCTAATTTCTTTCGAATCGTCCTCAATTTACAGCAATTTCTTGGGGCGTATCCTTGCAATGGCTACAGATAGTCCTGGCAATGCAGACGGAACAACAACAATTGCCTTACCCAGTGCTACAATTTCAAGCGGGTGACATTTTTTACGTTAAGTACTTTTCCTTGCATTGGATGGTGGCCTTGGATGATACGTTTTACTTTAAAGTAAGCTTCTCTATAGATTTTAATCTTTCTTATATTTTAACCCTCAGATGTCCAATACTTTTAACACGCGATGTCCCAAGTCGGGTCAAATTGACCCGTATTTAAACACATTAGTTTTAATAGTTTTTGAAGTATTATCTATGTTTCTGAAGGTATATTTTTTTTTTAAATTGTCACTTTTTCGGTGATATATTGGCGCTTTCTCACCTCCCTTCTCATCAGTCATATGTAACTTTCCCAGAAGAGATAGTTGGGTCAACTTGATTCGTCTTGGAAATTCTAGGGGTTGTCGCCAAATTAAAAACGTTCCTAATAGGTACGGCAAAATATCCATTTTTAGACGTTAGCTCTTGGGCGCTTGAGGGACCTCTAAACAGTTTTTTTTTTCTTTTTCAAGATGATTATTGATCTGTGCACATAGCATATTTTGATCGAACTTAACCTTTATCTTTTTTCCATTTTCACAAATAAAAGACACCTTAACGCACGCTGACGACAGCGCAGAGATACAAATATTCGTGCTCGATGGATGTCCGTGTTGCATCTGCAAAATTGAAGGCGCGATGGCTCGGCGCGTGAACTCGCAATGCTCCACTCTAAGCTGCCAATAAGGTGTCGCTCAGATTCGGGAGGAAAGTTAAAAAAGGGCTCGATTCCGTCTCTCCTAACTTTGGCTGGGTTGCTCAAGTAGCCCTTGAAGCACCACTACAAATAAGACAAACGGATTTAGATAAATTCGATTATTCCGAATCCTAGGAGAAATGACACCGGTTCATTTGGTACACTACAATTTCCGGTTCAGTTATCTGTACCGTCGGTCACGGAAGCAGACCCACGGTTTAGGTAGGACACTTTTGGTAGGCAAACTCAGATTTCTGTTGCTGCTTTTTTTAACGAAGGCTTCAAGGACCTGAAGCTTGAGCCAAAGTTGAGTTTCTCAATGACCGGAAACTTCGACCACTTAGAGCGACTGCTTAGTAGCAACCCTTAAGCGACATCTCATCCAGTTACATTGATTAAATCGGCTTGTTGTCGGTCTCCTTTGCAGGGTGGCATGAAACGTGAGGAAGAAATGAAAGATTGGAATTTCCAGTGAAATATTTCATGAAATTTCACGAGGCTATGAAATATTTCATATTTTTCGGGGGCCAGGGTATGATACTCGCACTCGAACAACAAAATAGAAGAAAGTCACAATTTTTACATTTTGCGGAACATGAAAAGGAACCGGTATTTTTCAAGATCTTTCATAAATTTCTGAAATTTCATAAAATATTTCTCGTGAAATTTCAAAATTTTATTTTTCATGATATTTTGACACCCTGCTCCCGTGGTGTAGTGGTTGTATCGCTTGTTCTATGATCGGGAGGTCCCGGATTCGATTTCCGGCCAGGTGACTTGAGTTTGATGGTCTCAAACATCGGTATCGGTAACTGGCTTGATTAGGGACGGAGGGAAAATGGGGCTTGGGGGGAAAAGTGTAAGTTTATCCCTCGTGGGATATTTGAACTGTAAAAGAAAGAAAGAAAAATAGTCAGTGCGGGGTCTCCATAATATATTGTCTCTGGTTTCCACAGATGTCAGGGAACAACGACTATACTGGTGAGATCGTGATTTCGAGGATGGCTGCCGACGAGCTCGACGACCCAAATATTTTCGGGATATGGCCGGCCCCTCAAGAAATAACGCCCGGCGTGAAGCTTATCGGGGAGGTAGGCATTGATCTCGCTTGGCGCATGCGTGGCATGACACTCCATTACGACTTCTTCAGATGCAACTGCCGCCACTACATCTACTACATCCTCTACGGAACGCCCACACCCTTCGGAAAGTAAGTACAGCACATGCTTCTCATACAGTTCTCGTCTGGGACCATTCGGGGAAAGGGCACTGGACCAGGGTCGGTTTTAGGGGTGGTTACATGGGCCGCGCCCCATGGCGGCAAATTTTGCAATTTTTTTAAAATATAGGTATAAAAAAAAATCGGATTCGGAAAACGAGAAAAGGTGACGAAATCTGTCATCTCCTGAGAGTATAGTGATCTCTAATTTTGTCGTCTTTCGGTGACACTCGAGACAGTACCTTTAATTGGTCGAGTTAAGAGAGAACCAAACACGCAATTTGGCCTGGAGCGGCGCGGTGCAGAGAACAATGATGGCGAGGACTTGAGATGAGAAGGAGAAGCCCTCGGCGCGGCGCGGCGGTCGGCATGTAACACATATTAGCGCCTACGAGACTGTATGAATACTTCACGCATTGCGTCAAAGACAGCGCGGTCCCTGCGGTCAGCAGCGGACGGCGTGGAACGCATAGCGCCTACAAGACTGCATGAATACTTCACGCATTGCATCAAACACAGTGCGGTCAGCAGCGGTCGACGTGAAACGGTTACAAGACTGTTGTTGGAATACTTCGCGCATTGTGCCAAATACAGTGCGGTCAGCGCGGCGCGGCGGCGAAAGTTAAAGTTATTAAACCACATTAATGTTTGTTCTTTCATAAGTTTTTCGTTCTATTCTTATAAATGGAAGGCCTTGTCTATACACAGAGATAAGTTTACGGACCTTAACTTCCGTGCAAAGTTCCGTGGAATTTTGCTAGTGTTGACACGACTTTCACAAAAAATGTGCCTAACACGAGTAAACGCGTCTTATGCACCCCCTCCTTCCCCCTCCCCCTCCCCCTCCGGCACGTTCACTCGATGGTTTTTTTTTTAATGTTTCCAAACGAATGAGAAGGGGGCGGCAAAATACAGGCGGCCCAAGACGGCAAGTAGGTAAATCCGGCCCTGCACGTACTGGACAGGCCCGCCACAAAGGGGGGGGATACTGGGTCCCTGGTACCGGGGCCCGGGCCCCGGAGGGGGCCCGTGCTGCCCGTGAAGAACCACTCCGACTTCACATGCAACCCTTGTTTCTTAGGAAAACGTGAAAAATTTACCCTAAAAATTTCGCAAAAGGTGAATAAATTTTCAAGAACACGCTGTGGCACTGTAGAATTCTTCTCAAATTTTCAAAGAAGTATACTTCTTGGAAAATTTCTATCTACTTTCAAGATTTTCAGTGCAGAAGGATATTTTTAGTAACTGCGTTTCATTTTCTTCCGTCGTCAGATGCTAAGAGTCTCCAGTCTGGGCATTCTCGACTTCAATGGCTCATGGTTCAACTCCCTTGCCATAAACAAACGAAGGGGGAGTCCAGGGGGGCCTGGCCCCCTTAGAATTGAAAATAGTATCATATGCTCCCCCAAAAAATAAAAGTTTTCCAGATGTTTTCCAGACTCGACGGATGCCCGTGTGGCATTCAATAAATTGAAGGCGATTTGACTCCCGGTGCATTAGGTAGTTGAAGGCGGAAGCTGGTTGATTGATGGACGCATTGGTGACAACGCTTTGATGCAACTATTCAATCTCAGGCTGAGGAAGCCGCGCAAAGCCCGATGGCCAAGCGCGATCAAATCTACGCCTCGAACTACATAAAATTGGGGTGCTAGGACATAATGTCCAAAAAAAATAGTCCAAAAGTAAAAACGTCCAAACCCATAATGTCCAACAAAACATACTAAGGCCAAAACCAATAAATATCCAACTAAGTAAAAAGTCCAAAACTGGTAAAAACTGATAAAAACAGAAAGTGGTAAAACGATGTGAAACGCACCAGTTACAAATGCGCATCATTCCAAGTCCCAATCGTCTGAAGAAGAGTCCGAGTCCGAAGGGTCTGCTGCTGCTGTAGGCGCACCACGGACGCGAATATTGTAGGCAATGAGAGAATTAGAGGCAAAATTAGAAAAAATATTTCACAAAATTTGCATTAAGACTAGTTTTACTTGAATTCATAATATCTCAATTTTTCAAAAACTGCACTTATGCGCCTTGTCCTCCAAACCCCTCTTATTGCTTTTTTAGTCCGGTATTCGTACCACGCTATGCAGTGCTAAGAAAACAAACTACGTAGGTAACTAAAAATTACCATGTAATTAATTTATTATCTCTCATATCTTCATTCCCTCGAGTTGTTTTCTTTTTTTATGTTATCTCATTTTCATGCAGCGTTTTCAAAGTGAATTTTTCTCCGTCGTCTTATATCACAGCAGGATTCCTTTTACACAAGGAAGATGGAATATGCACGTTGCTTAAGCCGTCAAAATTCACCTAACCGATAAGTAGTTGAAATCGAGCATGGTGTGTCGGCACTGGACCTCTCAGTAAAAATGCCAATTTCTCCAGAGGGTTAGTAATTGAAACTTATGGATAAATCTATAGATGAAAAAGACAAGAAAATAATGAAACGATCCTATAAGGTAAAATGGGTGGTTCACAAAGACTTTGGGGGAAAGGAAGGACTAACTCGTGTTCTCTCGTGGGTTGACGATCTGTCAGTAATTACTCACAGTGGTCTTGAAGCGAAAATAGTTCTACAAAATGTACCCAAAAACGGTTTGTAGGGGATGAATCTATGGTGTAGACTGAAAATCGCAAGAAATCAAAATCTTGGCCGATCCCATTTTCGAGATATTGCAATTAGGAACTCTTATAGTAAATGCAAGTTTTCTACTGATTTCGATCCAGTTTTTTATTTATGTGTCCATCGGTGTCGATCGGTTCACGTCAATCGATTCACGTTTTTATTTTTCGTTTGATTCGTGTCGATTGAAAACATATTCCATCGTTGCACGCAGACTTCCTATTGTACCCTTTTTTAATTAAACGATTCGCCTTCCGCTGCGTCTGCAGCAATTGTTGTTACGAATATGTTGTGCGTACTGATTTTAGGTCATTACATACTCGACACTCTGAAGGCGTTTTATGTGCACAAGTAGTGCGATCTGTTGGAGAAAGAATGAAGTAGAGACTGAGCGATTCACTCAATCTCACTTCTGGTGTTCTCCAAGAGATCACGCTACTTGGACACATAAAACGCCTTCAGAGATTCGAGTATGTAATGGGCTGAAATCAGCACGCACAACATATTCGTAACAACAATTGCTGCAGACGCAACTGAAGGCGCATTGCTTGTGCACATGAAACGCCGTCAAAGTTAGTCCCGTGGAAAAATACCCGAAGAGTTCAATTTTCAGGTCCAGAAAGTTCCACTATTCCGCTGAACCGCACGATCAGAATCCATGCGACTGAACTTTTAAAAACTGTTAAAAACACCCATTTCTCGGCGTTGAACTGTCGCGATGAACTTCGGGACTAGGAACAAGTAAATCTTCGTCTCCAACGTAGTTGAAGGTGAAACGAATCTCTTTTTTCTCCTCTTCAAAATCTAGAAATATCGATCGGGGTTCAATGCGGGCTAACATTTCGAGGTCAAAATCTAAAGCTCACTGATTAAGCTAAAACCAAGATAATCCTTGTTAACATGACCCAAGAAGTACAAATTTCGGGTCTAATATGCTTAAAAAGTTTATTGAGGCTCAAAAGTAGCGAATAAAGGAGTAAATCATTGAAAACGGTAAAAAATACGAAAGTTTTACGTTATTAGTTCACGGGTGATCCGAAGAAAAAGGAAACTTACTCAGGAAGTCTGCACCGTCGCAAACAGAGAAACGTCATCACTCATTTAGCCCATTGATATGTATGCATAAAATTGAGGGAATTTTGACTCTCAAACTAACCCCCCCCCCCCNCCCAATATTTTGTTGTCTCCTCTCACAATGTATTCGTCGGTAGTGAGGAACACTAGCGGGACGCGTTTGCTACAGCTCCGTGATACAACTATACAACCTCGACGGATGTCCGTATCCTTCAATATTTTCAACGGACAGATGTCCGTTCAAAAAATTGCAGGCGTTTTGACTCCCTAATAATACTACCAGTAGTTGAATCGATCGACAGACGCGTTGGTCGGCGGTGACGGGGACTTGATGCAACTATACAACCTCGACGGATGTCTGTATTGCGTTCAAAAAATTGCAGGCGTTTTGACTCCCTAATAATACTACCTGTAGTTGATTCCACCGACAGACGCGTTGGTCGGCGGTGACGGGGACTTGATGCAACTATTTAAACTTGATGGATGCCCGTATCGCACCGACAGAAGTGCGAAACCACGTATCTCCATTGCGGCGTTTCAAAAGAGCTTGATGCAAAAACGGCTTTTTTCGCCCCCCCTCTGGAAGTTCTTCAGACTTTGTCTATTGATTACTCATACCTACTTGAGCGCTTCTTTTCCCAAATTTTCAGACTCCCAAAAAATTTTGGGGGGGAGCTAGGGGGGGTGAAAGTCAAAACCTGTGAACCTCGATATCTCTTGAACAAAGAAAGATATCGAGGTCCGGTTTGGACGAAAAATCGTGTAAAATTGCATACTTTAAGATTCTAAAGGTCGAAATCCCGATATCACATTTTTAAGTCAACATATGTGCTTTTT